CCTGTGTCTTCTCTTCTCCAAGCTTAATATCCCCACTTCCTTCAATTAATCCTCATAAGACCCGGCCCCTTCATCAGGCCCTCTTGTGCTAGTACATTTTCACTATAATATTCTGTCTGTTCTAAACCAGTGTTAAGATTGGTAGGACAGCTGGAAAGAAGTTTGGCAGAAACTTATTTTAGACCAACACCTCACACCATTTACCAAGATAAGTTCCAAATGGATACATGACCTAGCTGTAAGAGGTCACATTAGAAATATATTAGAGGAGCAAAGAAATCACCTCTCAGAGCTATGAATAGGTAATGAATTCATGAGCAAACACAGGGTAGAGAAGATTACAGATAACAGGGAGGGGGAGGAAGGGAAGAAGCATTTATGCTTCTTCTATGTGGTAGGCATTGTTCTAAGCACTTTACAAATATCTCATCTGATCTTTATAACAACCCTGATAATCATAAAATAGATGATTTTAATAACAAAGTTTAAGTTTTTGCACAAACAAAACCAATACAGTTAAAATTAGAAATGGAACAAGTAACTGGGACAAATCTTTGCATCAGCTTTCTCTGATGAAAGTTCCATTTAAATATGCGTAAAAGACAGATTCAAGGCAGCTAGATGGCACAGTGGATAGAGCACAGGGCCTGAGTCAGGAAGGCTCATCTTCCTGAGTTCAAATGTGGCCTCAGGCACTTACTGGCTATCTGACCCTGGGCAAGTCACTTAACTTTATTTGCCTCAGTTCCTCATCTATAAAATGATTTGGAGAAGGAAACGGCAAACCACTTCAGTATCTTTGCCAAGAACACCTCACAAGGGGTCACAAAGACTCAGACACGACTGAAACACAAGGATAAGAAGGAACAGATTCAAATTTATAAGAACAGCAATTTGCCAACTGATACATGATGAAAGGATATGGACAGGTGGTTTTCATAGGAAGAAATCCAAGCTATTGATAGCCATATGAAAAAATTCTCCAAATCTAATTAAATCCAATACATCCAACCAGAAACAAAAAGAATATGACTATATAAATAAGGAGGAAAATGCACCACTGTGAAAGTGATGGGAATTACCCTAGACTGGCAAAAAAAAAAGAAGGTATAAAAGAATCACGTTTGTATGTGAGAACCAGAAAAATTTTAGCTTCTAGGGTATATCTGAATTCAGGATTGAAAAGTAATGGGAAACATCTACATCATTGAGGAATGAGCTTCAGAGAAAATTGCGTTAGAGATGCCAGCATAAATACAAAGAAGGTTCCACAGTATACTGAAGCTGCAAAGAGGTTGTTGTCTTTTACATTAGCTTGTCCACAGGAGTTAAGCATCTCTGGCTAAATCATCCACAAATCAATCATAATCAGAAAATTTTAGAGCTGGTTGTACATTTTAGAGGTTGTTGCTCATTCTTTGCACAAACACTTTTAGTGACAGAGTATTTGCTGTTTCACAAAGCAATCATGAGAACCACAATGGTTGGAATGTGTGTTGGGGTAGAGGGTTAAATTAATTAAATATATCATTTGCAAGTTTGGAATCATTTTACTGTATTAATGGTGCTGTCTCAACCATAGAATTTCATTTAACATTATTTGGTACTTTCATATGTATAGAACAAGTAGAAACAAGAGATGTGAGAGGGGCAGCTAGGTGATGCAGTAGATAGAGCACCAGCCCTGGATTCAGGAAGGACCTGAGTTCAAATTCGGCCTCAGACACATAACACTTACTAGCTGTGTGACCCTGGGCAAGTCACTTAACCCCACTGCCTAGCCAAAAGAAAAAAAAGACTTGAAAAGAGGCATCAGATACTAAATACTTTTTACTAGGAATTATCCAAGTTGTCTGTGTCTTGGAGCAGCTAGGTGGCACCAGGCCCAAGTCAGGAAGACTCATCTTCCCGGGTCCATTGCTGGAGGATGTCTGTCAGCCTGAAGCTTTACCTCTTGGAGCTGTGCTTCCCAGAGTTGTGCTGAGGCACCAGGAGATTTGGCTGCTGGAGAACACCGTTGCACATGATGGTTTTCCAAGCTGTTGTCTACAGGTTCCCTGGCTTGTACTCAGATGCTCAGGAGTCCTGGTGTTGGCGCTTGCCTGCTCCATCACCCTGGGACTCGGGACCTCCTCCTGGTATGCCAAGGTGGGGGTTTGTTGCTGGCTTGCTGGGACACCTCCTGATCTATACTGCTCCCCTTCCCCAGAAGTGACAGGGGCCTTTCCCACTAATCCCTCAAGCTTCCTGGGCCACAAAATTGCTGTACCCTGTCTTTCTGCTGGTTCAGCTGTTCCAGGGTTTTTCCTGGGTCAATATTTTCTGGGCTTTCAGAGGTCAGTAAGGGAGGGTGAGAGTGACTTCTCACTCCACCATCTCGGCTCCCAGAAGCAGAAGTCCTTCCTGGGTTCAAATGCAGCCTCAGACACTTACTAGCTGTGTGATCCTGGGCAAATCACCTAACCTTGTTTGCCTCAGTTCCTCATCAACACCAAATGGGATCACAAAGATTTGCACACCACTCAAATAACTCAATACTACGTAGCACCATGTCTATGCCACTGGGCAGAAATGAGTCATAACTGCCATGGTTTCTGGAGACACTAGAGTCATCTCTGTGTTGCTTAGGGTTAGAGGTAACACATGAAAACTAAGTAATAGAGGAGGTAGGGCTATGAATGGGGAACAGTGCAGAACTATTAGCATCATGTCAATGGAAGATTGACATGATATCAGCCAAGGACTATAACTCAGATTCATGAGGTCCAAAAGCAGAGGTCATATTGAAGACAGGACAAGATATCAAGGAAACCTAAATCTAGCTGAATGGGGCGCAAACAGTCAACTGAAAGGACAATTTAGTATAACAGAAAGAGCATTAAACTAAGGTAGCCCAGGCAAAAACAGGGTTCTAGTCCCAAGTCTGCCACTAACAGGCTTCAGTTATATCCTCTGTAAAATGAAAGCTTTAAGCTAGAACACGTCAGAGGTCCCGTCCAGCTCAATCAGCAATGAAAGCCGTTATTTGACATACTTCATGCCAACCTTCTGGTGTTGTGGTAGATAAACCTTCATCTTCTTTTGTTCTTTCTCTTTATTTATGTATTTGTAAGGCAATCAGAGTTAAGTGACTTGCCAAGGATCACACAGCTAGTATCACGTGTCTGAGGCCAGATTTGAACTCAGGTCCTCCTGACTCCAGGGCTGGTGCTGTATCCACTGTGCCACTTAGCTGCCCCTTTCTTCTGTTCTTTAAAAAAAAATACTCTCAAATGTAAGGGCCCAGTTTCACTGAGTATGGATGATTTCTTGTTCTAGATTTTGCTCAGCCCTGTAAAGTTCAAAATATAAATTGGAGATGAGCATCCTAATTTAATCATTTTCACTAATTTTTTTTTTCTGGGAGGGGAGAGGAAGAGGAGGAGGAGGAAGGGAAGGCTGAAAGCCATCTGTTCTTTTCAGCAATGACAGGATGAGACATTCATCAATATCTTGTTACTCTTCTCTAACATAAGTTGTAAAACATAATTATAATTTGGCTTTGTCAGAAAAATGAATCCAGATGCAGTTTATGACACAATCATCTTTTTCAGTTGGGTTTTGGCATCTGGGCACTCATTGGCAAAAATGCGACCAACCAAAATAGGCACAGGCCTCTTGCCTGGCAATGTGCATGCTGGTTGACATTTAAGGGGCAGCCATGTGTTCTGGGTAGTTCTCTTCAAATCAAAGTTCAAACTTCTCCAATTGGCAAAATATCCTTCTTTATGCCATCTGTGGCTGGCAGGCAAGAAACTCCTTTGGGACATTTTAATAGGTTTGGGTCCTTGGAAACCTGTGACCTCTTCACATACATACTAGATGAGGTAAAGTTTGGCTATGCTCTTTCAGAGGTTTATGACAGGAAGTGTGGTGGATGGAACGCCAGTCTTAGAAGTCACGCAGACCTGGGTTCAAGGACTGCCTCTGAGATATTAGCTATGTGACCAAGGGCAAGTAGTTAACCTTTCAGGGTCTCAGGGAATTCAACGTCTTATAGGGGAGTTTTGGGTGTGTGTATTGTTTTTACATCAGAAGGGTCCCACATGAATGAAATCACAGATCCAGACTGAAAGGAAAAATCCAAAGACATTCAAAAGCTTCAGGAGGAAGGAATATGAAGGTAGAAAAGAGAGTAGGCAAGACAAAATCACAGAACTTGAGGAAGGGACTATCTACGCCAACAATACACACTACATTCCTAAGTCTTCCAAGTTTCATAGTGGGGACCTACTACGTCTGAAGGCAATCCTTTTTGGGTCCCATGTTGCGCCTAAAGCTGCCTCTATATACTTTCCAACCACTGTTCCTACCTTTGCCCTCTGGGGATAAGGAGAACACGCTGAATCCCTCTTCCATATTCTAGTCCTTCAAATACTTAAAGGCAACAATGAAGTGACACCTCTGCCCCCCATTTCCTATGCTATGGATAACTTTAGTTGTTTTATAGTTGATTCAGACTATTTTAGTCTCTCCTTTGCCAATTAACAGCTGTGTCACCTTGGATAAGTCACTTAACTTCTATAGACTGCCCCCAAATCTCTCATCTGTAAAATGAAGGATTCCTTCCAGCCCCAACATTCTGTGTTCTCAAGTGCTTTTTCGCTCTACTGTTTTATGATTCAATGATCATCGTCAGCAGACTATGTAAATGTTTTGAGAAGACGACTGCTTCTACAATGTGCTCCCTCTGCTGGCAGCATTACCAAAAAGCAAACCACATTTTTGATTTTACATAAGCAGAAAGACAAACTGGACCCGATTTATTTCCTGCCACTCGTCTCCTGGCTAACCAGTTTATTTAAGAAAGCCCCCTTCCCCCACCACATAACCCCTGCCCCATACACACACCCTTCATTTAGATCATGCTATTATTTCACTTAAAAAGACTCCTAGAACAAGGGGTACCCAGTGTGACCAGGCCACCATCTGCTTCTATGTATCCCAATGGGAAACCTAGCTGCCAGCGAGCCAAAAACTTTATTGTAGAAATATAAAGTAGCATTTTATTTACATCTGCCCCCAGCGTGTGGTTGTAATTATGTTTTCTATCCTGACAGAGATTATTTGGTGGGCTATAAATAACTAAGCTGCTTGGATTTGAAACCTATTATTTATCTTGGGCAAGATTTATCTTCAGCATAGCAATCTGCATCTCTCCAACAGACAATTTTTAAGGGTGGCAGGGTTTCTGTTTCATAGCTTCAGAAGGGCAAGTGATTTCTCACCATGGTGACAATCAGGCTGTTGTGGTGGGCAACACCAGTATTTTCTAATTTAAAAAAAAGAAAGGAAAAAAAGCCTCTGTGAATGAAAAACATCAGTGGGTAGTCTGGAAGAATAGTGCAGACATGTTCAAAACAGGGCCCACTGAAATGAATGGCTTCTGCCACCAGCAGCCGTTTTCGAATGCTGGTTAATTTTCCATGAGGTAATTGCCTGGAAGTCATCCAAGCAGTCCCTTTATTCATTGTAGCTTTGCCTTGCCAACAGCAGGGCCAGGCAACATTGAAACAGACAGTCTGAACCAAGCATATGTGATGCCTGCTGCACAATATACTGAAGTCAGGAACAAAGGAATGAAGGGGTACTTTAGCTTCCAGGGGGTGAAAGGAAATACAAGTTCGCAGCAGATTTCCAGGGGCACCAAGCCAATGAGGTAGATGGTTTCCATCCAATTAAGAAGTTTTTCTTGTCTACAGAAAAAAAAAGAAAAGCCTGGTTTAGGGCTGTGAAAATTTAGAGTGAATATTTTTCTGGTTCAAATCTCCAAACTCCATTATATGGAGAAATAAAATAGGAGAAATCTGTGGTGTGATGCAAGGATGACTAGGGTAGGAGCCAGGGCTTCTATTCTAGGCACTTCTGTCCTCTACCAACTTCAGTCAATTACTTCCCCTCTTTCAGCCTCCATTTCCTCTTTTATAAAATAAAAATGTTAGATTAAATCTCTAAGATTCCCTTCCAACTCTGTGGGTCTGTGAAAATAATAATATACATTTATATAACATATTAATGTTTTAAAAAGTACTTCCTCACAACAGCTCTATGAGGTAGGTAAAAATAAGCATTATTGTCCCCATTTTACAGATAAGGATGCTGAGGCTCAGTGAAGGCACTTACTCAGCACCACACGAGTATTGGTGCTGAGACTCTAACCTAGCTTTCCTCACTTCAAGTCTAATGATCTCTATAAAACACCAAGCTGACTCTGGTTTCACATATGGAAAAATAGATGACAGAATAATATTGTCAATAGCAAATCATAAATACTCCTCAGCACTCTCAATTTAATCCCCATATCTCCCAAGCCTGGTTTATTGCAGTTCTGCTGAGATGCTAATAAGGGGGTTGGCTGTGAGCTACAGAGATGGAGAAGTCTAATGACGATCACAGATACTAGATCAGACATAACCACCTCATTTCACAATCACTTACCTACTTCGTGAAATATGCATTTTGATATATATGGGTCAAAGCTAAGCTTATGATTCACTAAAGGAGCATGTCCCTCCAAACTCTCTGCTTCAAAACTGCTCTAATTCATAATGCATTGATTTTGGGAGAGGATAAATTCAATCACCTAAGAAGCAGCATATTTTATAAAAGTAAATGCTATTTCAAATAATTTTTTTTTCAGATTACCTGAACAAAGTTTTCAGCGATGAAAAACTATAAACAGTGAACAGTAGCATGAGTAACACTTTAATCGGGAATTCTAAAAAACAAAAGTACAGATTACATTCATTCATTCATCAATAAATATTTATTAAATGTCTACTGTATATAACATATTGCTACTTTTGGAGAAAAAGTTCAGAAAAGCGAGATCTCTACACTTAAAGAATTTATAATCTAATGGAGAGATAAAACACAAAAACTTAAGCATAATATACAATACACTATTATAAGAGCATTAGAAAGGTAACAAAGCATTATGTGAGGTCTGAAGGGAAAAACCGTAGTAACTGTAGGGAGAGTGAATCAGGACAGGCTTCCTAGAGGAGACAGCATTTGAACTGGGCTTTAAAGGACAGGCAGGAATTCAAAACGGGCATTCCAGGTATAGGTTCTGAGCCAAGGCTAGAAACAGGAAAATACAGGGTATGTTTGGCAGGTGGAGCAGATCCCTTTGGGCTGGAGGGGTCTGGAGGAGAGGGATAAGATAAGGTTGGAAAGTCAAACTACTATCAAACTGTGGGAGTTCTAAATGCTTTTGTTGTTGCTGGTCAGTTGTTTCAGTTGTGACAGACTCTTCATGACCCCATCTGGGGTTTTCTTGGCAGAGACACTGGAGTGGTTGGCTATTTCCTTCTCCAGTGGATCCATTTTGTTAGGCAATCAGAATCAGTGACTTGCCCAGGGTCACAAAGATAAGAAGCGTCTGAGGCCAGATCTTGACTCTGGGCCTGGAGCTCCATTCACTGCGCCACCTAGCTGCCCCCATCTGAATGCTAAGGGAATTTGGACTTTATTCTGGAGACAACAGAAAGCCAGTGAAGGTTCCTAAGTGGAGGAAAGACTAGTTTAGGTGGTTAGATATTTGTTATAATCAATAAAACAATACAATGATGGGAATATTGCTCTAGATATACAGTGATACACTGCAGATAGATATACTGCTAGTTGTACTTTCAGTAACACTACCTCTACAAACATAATTTCATAAGATATTGTGTTAGTATACATTATAAGTATAATTGGAGATAGTCTAAGTAAAATTTGCCATGACTTTGTGATAACTACTCTAGGACATTGCTCTGGATGGTAGCTGGCTCCTTCAGCTGTCACCACAAACCCTCTATTTGATGAATGGAAGAGTGGGGATTCTGTCCAATTAGAAAATGGATGCTGCATAGACATTTTACCTCTGTCCACCCTTGTAAGGAAGAGGATGCAAAAGGACTTTCCAGCATGGCAGAATCTCTTAATTTTTCCACTCTCCTCTTAGTTTTAACTTTTTTAGTTTAAATTTTGATCACCCAGAAATGGAACTTTTGGTTTAATTACCCTCTAGAATGTTGTTTTATCTAAAATATGAGACTATCTCTTGAGTCAAGACGAAGTGAGCTCAAATTCTGACACCACTTGTGTGACCTTAGGCAAATCTATTAACTTCTTTGGGTCTCAGAAGGTTGGAATGAACAGCCCCTGAGATGCCTCCCAGTGCTAGATCTATGATCTTAAAGGAGGGTTTTCATAAAGCACATTTCACATTGCTGGATGGGGGCAATGACTACCATTTTAATTATGCATTTCTATGGAATTACAAGGTCTTAAAGGTTAAAGATAAACTAGAGGGTGTGCTAGCACTGCAGGGAATGAATGATTCACCACTGAAGACAGTAGCCAGACTTCTTTGTAATGCCCGGGGACTGGCCATTTATATTAAGTGAAGACAGAACATGAAGCCAGAAACGAGCCTTACTGCAAAGTGGAGGGTAGCCAAATCACTAGAAGCAGGAAGCCCACTTACCTGGGGCCGTGAAGAGCAATGGGAAGAGGGAATAATGGCCGGCTGTGGTTAGAAGCAGATAAATCGCAGCATCTTGTGGCTTTCCCACAGACAAAAGGCTGGAATAAAAATCCTCATGTTGATTAACTGTCCTGCAAACAATCCCCCAAAACCACTTTTAAAGAACGTGAATAAAGAGTGTTCTACTCAGAGTCTGGTCACGTGGTCTAGGGTCCTGGCCCCACATCGACTAGAGCTAACTCTTAAATTTTCTTAAACTTCTCAGATCTGCATCTCCTTCATCTGTGAAATGAGGATGAAAATGCTTGCCTCACATGGTTGTTGTGAGGAAAGTGCTCTAATCAATGTGAGTTGTTATTACTTTCTGTTGAGTGATGCAAACAGATAACAATTTTTTTCAATTTAAGTGACAAGTTCAGGATAGTAATTTTTCATTTATTCAAACATTTACTGATTGTTGACTGTTTACCACTTCCTGCTCTTTCTCCTCCATGAAGCCTTTTCTGATCTCCTTGGCCAATAACCATCTTTGTTTTTTTAACCTCTCTAATGCACTCATCATATAATGTTGTCTATCACAGCCTCTACTAGAAAGCAGGGATCCCATTTTATTGAAGCTTTGTATTCTCCGTCACCCCCAATCATGCCTAACAGGGGGGTCTGTACACAGCAGGCAGTCAGTAAATGCTTGCTGGGTTGTGCTGTAAGATCTTGTGTCAGGTGGTGGTGGTAGTGGGGATAACTGAGGATGATGCAAAAATGGACTTGCCATCTAGCAAGGGAAGTAAGCCACACGTACAAACATAATATAAGGCGGAGCATAACAGATTCATAAGAGAGTTACAAAGAATTCAGAAAATGCTTTTTGTTGTTGACGTTTCTGGGTAGGGCTACACAGGACTGGGGATAGGCAAGATGACAGGCTAACAGAAAGATAACTGATTTCATGACCACTGTCTATAATGTATACAACAAAGAGAAAGTTTCCCTTCCCCTCCCCACCCCCTATTATCATAGTATCATAGCTCTAGAGCTATAGGGGGCCTTACAGGACATCTACCCCAATCTCCTCATTTTAAAGAAGAGGAAACTGGGCCCCCAAAGATTAAGCAACATTCCAAAGGTCACACAAGCAGTAAGTGATAGGGGTGAGATTTGAACTCATTTCTAGCCCACTAGCAGCTCAGTGCTACTGCTTCCAGGGGAAACTTGATAAATTGATAAAGTCACACTGGCTAATTTAGACCAAGTGGAACAGAATGGAAAGTACATTAAAGTACACAGCCCTTCAATCTTTTGAGATGATCTGTTTTCAGCCAGTTCAGCATGTACAAGATAGACATGACCTTCCCCTCCTCTGAAAGACTGAAGGGGAGAATCTGGAGGTGGGAAGACAAGTCAGGAAGTTATTGCATAGTCTAGGAAAGAAGGCAACAAAGGGCCTGTACTAGGGAATAAAGAGGAGATGGATGACAGACTAACAGACAAATAGGACAAATTGTCTTCAGAATACTGAGAATCAGTAACTCAAGTGAATTTTCAATTCTCATAGATATTATTTATCCATAAAGTACGCATCACTACAGAACCTCTTTACTGTGTCTGAATGTTGTACTCAAAGCTTCTATAATAGAAAGTTGTGGGACAGCTAGGTGGTGCAGTGGACAGAGCACCAGCCCTGGATTCAGGAGGACCTGAGTTCAAATCTGGCCTCAGACACATAACACTTGCGAGCTGTGTGACCCTGGGCAAGTCACTTAACCCCAACGCCTTGCCAAAAAAAAAAAGCTGCCAATGTTTCCTTACGTGCCTCACAGTATTTTGAACATGTACTTAATTTTCCCTTAGTTATGTTATCCACATGCACTCACAGAAAATGCTTCATCCCAGTATAACATTTTACAGTATTCAAAGTACTTTTATATCCGTTATCTTATTTGGTTCCTGAATTTTACAGCTAGTGAAGGGTTAAGCGACTTATCTTAGAAAGCTGATGGCAGAGCTAGAACTAGATTGAAGGCTATCAAATCTTCACTCCCACTTGAAGGAGCAGAGGATGGTTTAGAAATAAACTGGAAAAGGAAGAAGAAGTAGAAAATGGCCTGCACATTTCTGTTGATGAAGGTAACACAAAATACCAGGCACAATGCAGGAAGAATATCCACAGGGATAATCAGAAATCCATAGGAGTTAATATCTAAGAAGATATCTAGGAATAAAAGCCATGGCTTCAAATGCATATAAAAGATCAACAATACTTGTGTTTTAATCTAACAAGATGAATGATCTTTAGACTGGATAAAATAAACTTTGGAAGGATAAGACATAATGGTGAACTGTCAAGTCAACAAGCATTGATTAAATACCTACTCTATGTCACACATATTGTTAAGTGCTGGAGATATAAAAGAAAGCAAAAGTCAGTCCTCATTCACAAGGAGCTCATAGTCTAATGGAGACAGCCTACAAGCAGCCATGTACAAACAAGATCTAGACAAGATAAGTTGGAGATCATTTCAGAGGGATGATACTAAAATGAAGGAGGATCACGAAAGGTTTCTTGTAGAAGGTGAGACTTCTGCTAAGACTTGAAGGAAGACAGGGAGGCCAGGAGTCTGAGATGAAGAGGGAGTTGAAAACTAAGATAAGCTTCTCTGAATGAGCTCAAGCCACCAGAAGCAAGTGAAAAACATTTTAAGGTACTGAAAAAACTGGTAGACATGATTCCTGGGCTTTTACCAGTGACCCCTGAACAATCATGGAGAATAAGAGATACTACAGCATCCAAAAAGGGGAAATATTCTGATTTTCAAAAATGTTTAGAAGAAGGTAAAATCTTCAAACTGTAGGTTAGTGAGATTGATTTCTGATGAAATGGCAAACAGATGAAGAATCAGCATGACTTCAAGAACATTTCATACCAGATTAACCAAATTTCCTTTTCTGTCAGGGTTTCCATACTGGTAGATCAGTCTACAACTTGGTTTCTCCCCTCATACCCCCCCCCATATTAACTGGTGTAAGTATAGCTGGACAAGAATTCATGTGAAATAGATCTGATGGTTTTACCCGCTTGACTGCTTCATATGGGCTAACAGTGGGACCTCGCAGTCAAAAACATCAATGTGATCTTAAAATGCATCAAGACAGGTATAACGTTCAGAAAAAGGGAGCTGGTAATTCCACCATACAGTGCCCTCTGTAAGCTATATCTGGAATATCGTTTTTAATTCTGGTGATCAGATTTTAGGAATGATACGAAATTGGAATCTGCCTAAAGGAGGGTAACTAGGGTGGTAGAAGGTCAGGAAATCATTCCATCTCATTGAAGGCTAGAGAAACTAGTAATGTTTAGCTTAAAGAAGCAATAATCATAGTCAAAAAGTATAAAGAGTTGTCCCCAGGAAGTAGTAGGAAGATTTATTACCGAAGGTCTTCAATCAGTGGCTGTCTAACTACTTGATAGAAATGCTCTTGAGGAGATCCTGTTTAGGAAAGTATCAAACTAAACGCCTTTTGAGTATTCCTCCAACTCAAAGACTTATTGCCTTTCAACCCCTTGCAACACTGTGTGAACTTCTCTTATGATTTATAGTTGTATTCTTATCTTACCCACTGTATTAGGCTGTTAGCTACATGAGGGTAGGGATGTTTTATTCATCAACATGTATCCCCAAAAAATGCCTAGGACAGAATAAAGACTCAATAAATATTTGTTGAATGAATTATTGAATGAACTGTAGATTAACTATTGGGAGAAGTCTGTCTTTGTATGTTCTAAGATATATATTTGGAATAAGCAAATCAAACCAAGGATTATAGTTACATTATGAATTGTGGCAACAACAATATGAATAAAGGGGTGGGTGGTGGAAGAGATGTGAAGTTTGCTTACCTCATTGGAAGAATTGCTAGGAGTATTGCTTTTTCATGAACATGCCATCCAAACATGAAGGAGCTTAGTGCACAAACAATTAGACATCGAAGAAAGCCTCTGGGTCCTTGGGGTTTAAACCAAAGACAGAAAACAGAGGGCTAGAAACAATAGGCAAAAATGAGACTTCAGTATTATTTTCAATAGGCTTTTAAGATACATTTTTCAAGCTGGTTAAATGTTTGCATCATCAATGAGATACTGTATAATTCAGAGACAATCGTCATCCACTAGGAAAACCGATCACAATTTCAACAATTTGTTACCACAGAACCAAAACCAAAACCCCATGCAAGGGAAAAAGGTTTTATTTTATAAGAGCAATATACTTGTCAAAAGTCAATTATAATCCACTATCATTAATGTTTGAGAAGGCTAGTGCCTTTGCCACATGTCCAATTTTATTTATTAAATCCCAGCTGAGCTCAAAGGCTCCTAGGTAGCTTAAAGGAATAATAATATAGGAATTAAAAGTTATAAGGGCAGCTAGGTGGCATAGTGGATAGAGCACCGGCCCTGGATTCAGGAGGACCTGAGTTCAAATCCGGCCTCAGTCACATAACACTTACTAGCTGTGTGACCCTGGGCAAGTCACTTAACCCCATTGCCTAGAAAAAACAAAAAACAAACCAAAAAAAGTTATAACAACTCATTTCTACAGTACATTAAGGTTTACAAAGCACTTTCCTCACAAAAACACTGTAAGGTAGATAATGCCCACTTATGATTCTCCATTTTCTCAATGAGGGAACTGAGAGGTTCAGAAAAGTGCCTTGTCCTTGGTCACATAGCTAGAAAGTGTTGGAGGCAGGGAAGAAACTCTAGAAATTTATAGATTAGTTGGGTAAGAATTACTGAGGACCTATGACATAGGAATACTAGATTTGGAGTCACTAAACCTAGCTTCAAGTCCTAGCCCCGTTATTCACCAGTTATGTGATGTTGGGCAAGTCATAACCTAAATTTTCTTTTCCATTTGGCCAACTGTACTTTCCAAGGAATTGTTGTCTTCAGTGGACTTTGATATCTCCTTCTCCATTTGGCCAATTCTACTTTTTAAGCAGTTTTCCAAACTGCTGGCTTTTTCATAACTTTCTTGCATCACCCTCATTTCTCTTCCCATTTTTTTCTCCTGCCTCTCTTATGATTTTTAAGCTCCTTTTTGAGCTCTTCCGCAAGTTCTTTCTGGGCTTGAGGCCACTTCCCGTTTTTCTCTAGGGTTGTGCCCGTAGCTGTTTTGACACTGCTGTCCTCTTCTGAGTTTGCTCTTGCTCTTCCTTGTCACTGTAACTTTCTATGGTCAGATTCTTTTTTTGTTGTTTTTTGCTCATCTTTTTTTGGGAGGCCTTTTCCCTTCTTTTAAATTTGAGCTCTGCACCAGGGGTGGAAGGGGCACTGCCTCAGGTTTCTTGTGCTAGTGGTTATAGGCCCTGGCTGTTTACCTGGTGCTGCGGTGCTGTTGCCTCGAGGCCCACCAGGGTCCCTTGTGTCTGGTACTGCATTGACAGGGTGGGGTGGGAGTCGGCTGGCGCTGCTAGAGGCCGTAGGGGTCTGGCAGTTTACGTGGTGCCAATCTGGGGTCCTAGTGGTGGTATCTGGCAAATGCTGAGGCCCGGTGGGGTGTTTCTTTGTTTCCCTGTAGCTACATGGAGGTCTGGCCTCTACAGGCTGCCTGTTTGCCTGTGGCTAGGCTGAAGCATGGTGGAGGTGGTGCTGGCTGGTGGCTGACTGTTTGCTTAGGCACCCCTAGGGTTGGCATGCACTTGTTTGCCTGGGGCTATGCTGAAGCACATGGTGGTTCTCTGAGCTGGAGCCTGGCAGTTCCTCTGGCTACGCTAAGGCATGTGAGGGGTCTTGGTGTTGGTGTCTGCCTGCTCCACCAAACTGGGGCTCAGGATCTCCCATGAGTTTGCTGAGGTGGGGCTTGCTGGGACGCTTTCCGTCCTGGACTATGCTCCCCTTTCACTGAGTGAGATGGACCTTTCTTGCCGATCCTCCAAGTTTCCTGGGCTGAAAGATTGTTTCACCCCATCTTTTTTGCTGGTTCTGCTGTTCCAGGATTTGTTTTGGGGCTCTATTTTATGGTTGTTTGGAGGTGAGTATGGGAGGGTTACAGTAATTTATTGCTTACTCCACCATCTTTAGATTATGGTATTTCCCAATTCACAGCCACACTGCATCACCTAAAAAACATTAGTTAAAAATATGGGTCTGTGTTTCAAGAAAAATGCTCTACAATTTCCCAAGTGCGATCCAGCCTGCTCCTTTCCCCCAACTTGACGTGGGCCCAGTTCATTTTCTGTTTGCAGCATGTGGCTAAGATACATGTTCTTTTGGATCAGCTCAAGGGGATGCACCTATACCTCCTAGTCCAGATTAGGGCCCTCTGCCTTCTTTTGATTTCTTTTATGTAGATTGTTAGTATTGACTCCCTAAAAATGGTTATAGAGGTCAGATAAAGATGTTCTTAACACTGTTTGTATTCTGGGGCTTGATGCAATCAGTACAATATCATCTTCCAGTTGAAGACATCCTCACTTATCTTTCACTTGGATTCTAGGCTGAACATCCTCCATAGCAGTGTCAAACAGCTTTGCCTGGGCACATATATCTCCATTTCTTATGCACTGTCTGATATTGATAATCTCAGGATCACTGATTAAAGTTATTTGTTATTTAATCGATCAAAGAATCTTAAATGATCTTAACACATGTATAGGTAACAATCTGTAGACGCAACGTGGTATAGCAAAAAGAACATTGAAGTTGAAGTCAGTGCACACCTGGGTTTGAATTCTACCTCTGACACTTACTAATTATATGACTATGGACAAACCATAGCTTCTCTAAGTCTTTGTTTTCTCATCTGTAAAATGGAGCTAATATTTGTAGAACCTACCTCATGAGGTTACTTGAAAATCAAATGATAGAGTTAATGTAAAGTACTTTGCAGACCTTAAATATACTATGCAAATGTCAGTATTACTATTAAGGCTGCATTTTACTGTACAATTGGTCACATACTTGTAGAATACTAGAAAAATCAATAAATAATAGACCAGTGGGATCTTGTATTTTTCGTACCTTTCAGCTAACTAACTCACTACCCACAGAAGTTATTTCTTCTTTTTTTTTTTTTAAAGGCAACTGGGGTTAAGTGACTTGCTCAGGGTCACAGAGTTATTAGTAAGTGTCAAGTGTTTGGTCTGAGGCCGGATTTGAACTCCGGTACTCCTGACTTCAGGGCTGGTGCTCTATCTTAGCTGCCCCCCAACAGAAGCTATTTCTAAACCTTCTCTCAAGTCTCCCACACTCTCTCTTCTCTTAGGCTGAACACTTTTCCTCTTATTTACTGAGAAAAATTTGATATAAGTTCCCTCTTTTCTCAGTCTATTCATCTTATAATAACGATAGCATTTATGTAGCACTTTAAAGTTTGCAAAGTGCTTTTCATCTATTATCTCATTTAATCCTCAAAAATCCTTTGACATTATCTCCCTCACTCCTTCTTCCCCCACCCCAGTTTCTGACAAAGAAACGGCCCTTCTGCCGTTACCCTTGATCTTATCCTCTCCATCTTCTTCATCAGACTGTATCTTCAATCACCCCCTTCTGCCTCTCTTGAATACTTCCTATTGCCAAAATCTCTCCTCTCCTTAAAAAAACTCCTTCATTAGATTCTGCCAACCCCTATATATCTCCTCCATTTCCCTTTCCCAGGCAGTCTCCATGAAAAAGCTGTCTCCACTTGCTCTCATCTCTCTCATTCCTCAACTCTTTGCAATCTAGTTTCTGACCTAATCATTCAATTGATGATGTGATGTCTCCAAAGTTACTAGAGATCTCTTAAGTAACAAATCTGATCTGTTTTCTTTTTTCATTCTTCTTGACCTATCTGCTGCATTTGACACTGCTGACCACCCACTTTCTCATGTATACTCTTTCCTAGTTTTTGTGACACTGTTCTCTCCTGGTTCTCGTCCTACTCAACTGTCTGCTCCTTAACAGTTTCCTTTCCTGGCTCATTATCCATCTCATGCTCCTTAAACCGTGGGTGTTCACTAAGGTCCTCCTAGACCTCTTGTTTTCTCTGTCTACACTCTCCTTGCACTTCATCGGTCTCCATGAATTTAATTATCATCTGTTTGCGGATAACACCCAGCTCTAAATACTGAACCCCAGTCTCCCCCTTGGCCTTTGGTCTTGTATCACCAAATGCTTACCTGACATCTCAAACTGAAAATCCTGAAGACATCTTAAACTCAGCATGTCCAAAACTGAATTATCTTTTCCCCAAAATATCCCCCTGCTCTAAAGTTCACTATTTCTGTCAAAAATACCACCATCCTGCCAGTCTCCCAGATTAATAACCCAGGTATTATCTTTGACTATTTATTCTCCCATACCTCATATGACCAATGAGTTGTCAAATCTTGCCATTTATACCTCTAAAATCTCTCTCAAATACCACTTTCACATTACTCATACAGGTACCATCTTAGTTCTGGCCCCTATCAACTGGTCTTCTAATTCGCTCTCTATTTGAGTTCACTCAATACGCTGCTGCCAAAGTGATTCAGATCTGGCCATATGATTCCTCTATACAATCAACTTCAGGCTTCCTATTACCTTTAGGATCAAATAAAAACTCCTTTGTTTAATTCGTAAAGCCCTATATAAACTGACCTCAATCTATCTTTCATCATCACTAGGTGTTACTCTCCTCCCCTCCTCTTGATCCTTGACCAACCAGACTGGCCTTTTCTCTGTTCTTGACATGACACCCCATATACTGTTTCCATACTTTCACACTTGCCACCTCCATGACTGGCACACACTTCCTCCTCACCTTTGTCTCAGAGGGTCCTTCTTTTACTTTAAGATACAGAACAAGCATCATCTTTTGAATGAAATTTTTCCTCATTACCCTAACTGCTAGTGTCATCCCTCCCAAACTACCTTACTTTGTATACATTCTCTTTATATTTATATCTCTACATATGTCCTTGTTGTCTCTTTCATTAGAATGGGAGCTCCTTCAGGGTAGGGCTTGTTTCATTCTTTGTACTTGTATTCCTAGCGCTTGTTATGGTGCCTGGCATATAGTAGGAGCTTGATAAATGATTGCTGATTGATTGAATTGTGTAATTGTAAAGGTATGGTCTGCTCAGGAAAATTTTTTAAAAATCATAGTATTCTTTCCTCATATTTTCATCAAGGTTAAACTTCAATAACTTCATTTTCAAATTTTATAGAGATAAATATGGGTTAGTGGGTACTGTCTTCTCAATCATTACTGAGAACTGATCCATTAATGAATTCAAAATGTTGTCACCTTCACTACACACTGCCTTTGCATACAGCTGGTCTTGTCTTGTTACTCCTCCTAATCTTCTTCTTCTTCCTTTTTTTTTTTAAAGGCAATTGGGATTAAGTGACTTGCCCAGGGTCACACAGCTAGTAAGGGTCAAGTGTTTGGTCTGAGGCCGGATTTGAACTCAGGTCCTCCTGACTTCAGGGCCAGTGCTCTATCCACTGTGCCACCTAGCTGACCCTTCTATCTTCATTTTTAAGGGCATTTCCACTTCCATCAATAACTGAGAGGTTATAGCTCAAATACAGAGTTCCTGTTGTCATCAATAAAGATATTAAGTTTGTTATAGACAATGCTAACAGATCTATTAAATTTTTCATCTATTTTCTTTCCAATATATCTTGAAAAGCTCTTGGGATGACCTCATCTTGGTCCTAATACTAAGCTTTCTGAAAACTCTTCTTTCCTCTCTGTGGTTTTTCATTGTCTTATGGGGTGATACTTCCACAAAATTCCTTTATAAAGTTTTAAAATGCCTTTCTGTTCTAGATAGTGGCTGAACTTGGCTGCCATGTCTCCCTGCCTGGCAAAGATATCAAGTGTTTGCTGGCAAAGGAAGCTTCTGGCCTCTTCTGGTCTTTCCATAGCTACTGCTTTATATTTAGTTAAATTTCCATTAGAAATCATGACAATGCCTGGACTCAAAGAGTAGCTATTAATGGTTCAATGTTAATTTGGCAGAAAATCTCTAGTGCAGTGCCCAGGGACCTGTGCTTAGCCCTGTGCTATTTAATATAATCAGTGGCATGGATCAAGGCATAAATGACAAGCTCATCAAATTTGCTGATGACATAAATCTAGGAGGAACAGTAAACAAACTGGATGACAGAATTCAAAAAGATAGTGAAAGGCTAGAAATCAGGCTAAATCTAGTAAGACAAAAGTCACAAATCGCTAAATGTAAGATCTTGCTCTTAGATTCAAAAAATCAGCTTCACAAGTGCAGGACAGCAGAGGCACGATTAAATTCAAGTTTGTCTCAAACTGATGCGGATTTTTTAGCGGGCTGCAGGCTTAATGGGTCAATATGAAAGCCAAAAAAGCCGTGATTTTGAGCTTTGGTGAGAGACACAGCTTCCAGGAATAAGGAAGCGTTAGTCCCTCTGCACCTTACCCTAGTCAGACAACATCTGAAGTAGTGTGTTGTTTTCTGGGCATGCTAGTTTAAGAATAATATTGATAAACTAGAAAGGGTCCAGAAGAGGGTAACCAGGAAGGTGAAAGGCCTTGAGTCCATTTCATTAGTTAATGAAACTGGGGATGTTTAGCTCATAGTGGAGAAGACCCAGGGGGAATATGATAATTGCCATCAAGTAATTAAAGGGGTGTCACACAGAACTGGAATTAGACTAACTCTCTGATGCCAAAGGGCCAATCCAGGAACAAAAGGTGGAAGTTGCAAGGAACCCTTAGGCTTGATATAAGAAAAAACTTTCTAGAGCTGCCTTACAGTGGAAGGGGCTACCTGGGAAGTGGTGTATTCTCTCTTTTTTGAGGTCAGTGGTCTCACTGAACATAAAGAGGTTCTTTAGAAATGACTCCCGTAATTTTCTGTGTGTGGTTTGATTTCCACCATGTCTAGTGCCTTCTGACTTTCTTCTGGAAAAAAAAATATTCAAGAAGCTTTTGTATAATCTACAAACCTTTGGACTCTCTGATTTCTTAATCTTGAAATACACTTTTTAACATTTTTCACTATCTTCCCATATCACCATCTTTGATGGTTTGAAGGGTTTTACTGAATTCTTTGTGAATTCCTCTACTGCTTCTTTTCCTGTGTTAGATTTTAGCACATAAGGCATAACTGCCTTCATGGTGGTCTGTTGGTTATGTTCATCTTGACCACTGTGAGTCTAAAGGACCGAGTGTCTCATGAAATTATGTTTTGTGCTGCGTTTAGGTATAAAACAAAAGCAATTCTTTCAAATACTTTATTTGTCTCTCTAAGGAGACCTCCTTTTACCTTCTGTTTCAATTATAATGAGAATGACAATATTGATGATTCAGTCCTTTATGTAAAATGTCAACAAACTGGTCCTTAGACAAGCATCTCCCAATATGACTATTAGTAATTAAGTTAATGTTTAAAGACAGTCTAAAAACTGTAATTCTAAAAATCCTCTGCCCCCTGCTGTTATTGTTATTGCAGACATGGAAGGATGCTCCATACGACTGCGGACTATTTTAATTTTTTTTCTTTGTTTCATGAGTGTCATGGCCAAAGAATTCATCACCTAGTGGCTAGTCTATTGGAGACGAACCTCTCTGTACACAGATAAGCTGGTCCCCATGCAGCAGACACAGTCTGTTACTAGGACCATGCCCACAGCCTTTCCAGCTTGGCAGATCACGTAATAGCTCGTACTCCATAGGTGTAGTATTCAAGATCTCAGGGTCACCTCTCTTCCACACTAAGATGTTGGGGTAGAACTTTTCTACTACCAATTAATAAATATTTATGAAATGCTACTAATTACCAGGCACCATATGCTACATTCATGGGAACTTTTTCTGCATATATTACATGACTGAAATGTAATACAACAAAGCTGTGCTATCCTTAGAGATATTTTTCTCTACAAACAAGACTATTGCTTGGGTATTTGCCCCAGATAGCTAGTAAGACAGATCCATATAAATATCTTGTTTCAGGGAGCAAAAACAAATAAGTGTCTTAGAGTTGAAGTTTAATCAAATAAATAAAATGGACAGAAAAAACTCAAGAAATTAGTATTATCTATTCAATGCTTACCAACATAGCTATCATAGTGCAAATGAGGGCTGCTAATGGAGTCACAGAGGGCAGGACTACGTGCTGGAATTGTTGAACCAAACCACTTGTCATGGAGGCCTTGGCAATCTTCTTGGGATCAAGAAGATTACATTTCAAGCCTGTGAAGGATATAAAGCATTTCTCTGAAAACAGGAATCACAGCATCTAAGAAAACAATCCATTTCTTGAAGAAACAATTTTGTTTCTTAATGATGTTCTACAGCCAAAATTTCATAGATAACTGAATTTGAAACTATATTACCTAGTTAACTGCATCATCACTGTGTTGAATACCCGTGGAATAGAGCAATGTAAAGCCCATGCTACCTAGGTATCCATGGTAGACTCCAGGGAGCTGGCTGAATGAATGGCAATCTACCCTAGCCACTACTTGCGCCATCCTTCTCCAATACCCATCATCTAAAACCAAAGCCCAGGATAATTAAGAACTTCTTTCTGCCTCATTCCAGACAAACTAGCAACATAAGGGGAAAGGCAAGAGAATATGGGATATTCTGTAGACCTGTTCTGCTCCCCTGCCTGTGGAACTGAAAACCAATAATGAATCGGAAGAAGCTAGACAAGTAATCAAAGAACAGTAGCATAATCTCCACAGTTCTTGACATTTTATAGCGTGCCACAGATCTGTGAAGTACATAGCACAGTATCTATATTTTATACATAAGGAAACTAAAGTCCAGAGAGATGAATAACTCGCCCCAGGATCACAAAGTTAGGACCTGAACCCTGATCTTGCCTAATTTTTCTGCTCTTTCCCCTGGCCTCAGTGTCCTCAACACTGTGCTCTTTTCCTGAACTGTCACATGAATACTCATGGGCCTCTCTGACTTCCTTTACAGCAACATCTCACTAAGTTCTTGAAGATGCAGTATACAATAGGTCTGAAAAACTAGGATCCCCTACAAGTGCAGGAGTCATAACAGTAATCATGAATAAATCTCCTAACATTTAAGATCATTACTGCAGAATATTAATGTATGAAACCTAGAATCCTGAGTATAAATCCACTGCATCACAACAGACCAATCTAAACTACAGGGGAGTGTGGGAGTCAGCACAGATGCATGATTAAATACACGAGGGGGAGCATTTTAATGTGTAGCTGTGAAGGAGTTACTGAATTTGGCAGAAGACAGCGTTATCCAAGATCATGCTTGACAGAATAATAATAAGAACATACATCAAAGCTCAGGATCTAGGGTAAACCCCAGGACTTGCTTTGATCACTGGGGTTGGTAAGCCAGCCGACAATGATCAGGTCATGCCAGACTAACCTCATTTCCTTTTTTGACTAGGTAACTAGACTCAGAACAGGGGAATGTTATACACACAGTACACTCAGAGTACAGGACAGGATCTGATAAAATCTCTCGTGTTCTCCTCCTGGACAAGGGAGATTGCTATGGGGTAACTAACAGTACAGTTAAGTGTACTAGAATCTTGTTGAATGACTAGATTCAAATGTAACTATCAACAGGTCCATGTCAGCTCAGAAGGAGGTATCAGGAAGAAAGCTGCAAGGATTCCCAAGAAGTAGCAATGTCAAATGGCTCAACATCAGAAATGGATATGGCTTTATCGGTAGAAATAACATTACAGATGCATTATCATCTGCTTTACCAATGTACTGCAAGGACCATGGGATCTTTCCTTCTGACTCCTATATGTGTTGCCTCACCACTAGAATGTGAGTTCCTTCAGAGCAGGAATTATTTTTCTATTTGTACCCTCAATGCTTAACACAGTGCTTTGTATACAGTAAGGAATAAATGCTTCCCTCCTTCTTCCTCCCTCCCTCTTTCCCCACTTTCCTCTTCCCTCTCTCCCTTCCAACAGAGCTACCCAAAAATGTAACCAGCTGCCTTGGGAGGTAGTAGGCTCCTTCTTCACAGGAGATCTGTAAGCAAAAGCAGCAAGACTGCTTGTTGGGTATGGCATGTTGTAGGAGGGATTCTTGTTTGGGCATGAGTTGGACTAGATGACCTCTGGGGTCCCCTCCAACTCAAATTTCGTGATATTAGCAACTGTCACTATGGAGGTGTTCTGAGCTATTCCACTGAAATTAACTGAAGACAGGGCTGCCTTTGCTTCATTAGGAGCAGGGGGCAGCCCCATCAATGAGTACACACTGTGAGTGATGGAAAGAAGGAAACAAGCATTTATTAAGTACCTCCCACAAGCCACACACTTCTCAAATATGGTTCTCAAATATTATCTCATTTAACACTCTAAACAATCCTGGGAGGTAGGTGCTATTATTATCCCCAATTTACAGTTGCAGAAACTGAGGCAGACAGGTCAAGTGTCTATAGCAGCAAGTGTCTGAGGCTGGATTTGAACTCAAGTCTTCTTGACTCCAGGCCCAGTGCTCTATGCAATACACAACCTAGCTGCCTGAATCAAGGTAGATCATTTTAAAAAGTTGGTATTATCTCACCTCTCTCATCTCTCAGTTTTTTTTAGGATCAATACTTCTTGACTCAAGCAATAGTTTATCACTGTCCTTTTTCACTGTGTTGGCTAGTAAAAGTTTTCTGGTGGTAGTAAATTGAGAGAACTTATTTGTAAATAGTTATATAGAGACTGAGTACACAGGTACACAGGTACTATAAGATATCTAGCCAATGACATCCTTATCAAGTATAAATCACCTTTACCTCACAAACCCAAATTTAAACACATTGTTCAACTTTCCTGTTTCTTCTCGTCTCATGCTTTAGGACAGCTTAAATTCTACACATGTTTGGGAAAATTACATAGAACCACAATTTAAATTATTTGAATTCCATTCATTCTCTCTTTTTGATTCTTCATTTATTAAGGCTTAGAAGCAGAGTTCACTTAGTCTGAATATTTGTTTCTTCAACCAAAAATTGGCTTTTAAAAGAATCTTACAAATTGCTTTATTCCCCCAAACCTCATTTCTATGAAGAACGACAGTAGGGATGTTTCTCAGTGTGTTGTTTACTGCACCCCCTTCTCAGTTCTAGGAGCCATTTCCCCCGATAATCCTCTTGCTTTGTCTGGACACTTGTAATTCGGTTCATGCTCCTGCACTGTGCCAGGAAACAAATGCTTGGCACCCTCTCCCAGACCACAGCATTCCTCCCATCGGACAGGCACGAGTGCTAAGCAGCAAGACTTTTAAGTGAACTATACCGATAATGGAGAGCATCTTGTCCAAAGCATTGTACAAAGCCCAGAAGTTTGGAGCCCAGTAGGCATGGCAGAGGCCCCTCTTGAAAGGGAAAAGCCTTGAAATTACTTGAGGCAGTTGGTTCTATGAAAAGGAGCAAGAAATTGATTAAAAATAGAGGAAAAAATGTAAAGACTGCTGACAGACTGATGAGGTGAAAAGACATGAAGTTGGGAAATCTGGTTTCTAGTCATGGCTTTACTTTGGGCATCCAAATTCTTTTTGCCTCAGTATCCTCTTCTTTTGAATACTGACAACGGTATTTGCCTTGCCTATTCCTTGGGTTGAACAGAAGCAGGATGTACAGGGAAGAGAGCTGGACATGGAGTTAGGAGACCCAGGCTCACGTCATGATTTCTGCACCATGTGACTATGGGAGCTACTGCCTTAGTCTCCTCTGTATACCAGGAATGACACTCACTGGGCTGCTGAGAGGGAGTTCTTTCTAGTGCTACAGTGATGGAGTTAGAGGGCCACTTCAATGAGTTAACACATGGGAATTCTCTAAGGAGGAGTGCTATGAAAAGGTAAAGGCTCATTCCTCTTCCCTGGACTTCAGGGTCGTCAAGATAAGGACTCAATGTCCACCACCTCTCAAGGGAGGGGACTAAGAGGGCCAAAGAGGCTAGATGCCATCACCATCAGTGCTCCCAAGATGCTTGGCCTCTCAGCAGAGGAACAGTCAGTGAGCAATGTGCACAATGTTGCAATCTACCAGGATGGAATGAGTACACAAAAGCTGGAGTGATGATGAACTCAGTAATAAGGACAACAAATGCTACCACCAAGGATAATGCCTGGCTGGTAGGCCCCCAGCCATCCTCAAGACTGGAATCCTTAGCACAGCCTGCCTGCCAGGTGGTCTTCCAGGCTCTGCTCGAGGCCCTGTGAGGAAGGAAAGCTTCACTGCTGTCCAGGTATCTGGTCCCCTATGAGGTGGCTCTTCCTGTTAGGAACATGTTCTCATCATGAAGCCTAAATGTGCTCCTAGTTCTGCCCTCTGGAGCCAAATCTAATCCCTCTTCCATGCAACAGCCCTTCTATGAGTTCTTGTATTCATTACTGCACTGGACCCACATACACTGGAATAAGTGAAGAAACATGGAGATTTCATTGGTGTAGCACTTCCTCCATGAATGCGGATCAAAGCCCCTCCATGGTTTCATTACTATCTTCATAAAATGCTTTGGTCAAAAAACCTTCAACCCTTGTGGTGAGCCTCTCTGCACTTTGCGTGATTGGCCCTCAGAGGACACACATTCCTGCTCCCGGCTTAGTCCTCAAAGCCTTTTCCAGATTGGTAGGACCTTTCCTAAATGGCATGGTGGTTAGAGCACTGAGCTTAGGAAGATCTGAGTTCAAATCCTTATTCAGACATTTATAGCTGTGTGACCCTGGGTAGTCACCTTATCTCTCTGTGCTTCAGTTTCCACATCTTTAAAATTAAACGGTTAGACTCAATGGCCTGTAAGATCTCTTCCAGCTCTACATCTACGATCCTATGATCAATGCCACAATGAAGCATCAGAGACTTTCATTGTAGCTTGTAATATTCCCAGGGGAACACATGTCTATTTGATGAAGAAAGAGACACAGAGAGGTTAAATAATGTGCCATGGTTATAAAACTATTGTCAGAGCCAGGGCTAGATTCCAGACTTCCTAAATATTAGTTCAGTTAGCTTTTTCTGCTAAACCCATCTCTATAGGAAGGCTTCCTGGAGGCAGGTTTTGAGTCAGTTTTTGAAGGCAAATGGAGTATGGTAATTGAAATTCCTCCCCTGATCATCTCTATTATTATTAAGGATCATTTATTATGGGCCATCTATCTACCACGGTGTAAAGCATACCAAAAATTTTTTTCCCAAGTAGAAATGGACAACATAACATTAACATCAACAAGGTTCTCCAGAATATCTGAACAAACAACGACTAACAAATTAATACTGGGAACAAGCCATGGCTCATATGCCCTTTACTGGGTGGTAAAAGAGAGAGGAACTACTAGATAGGTTAAGCATGATCAAGGGTCATCTACTTCCTTTCTGCCTCAGGAATTACTCAGAAAAAGCCTGATATAGATCACTATACTAGAAACAGAAGGTTCCATGTTCTAGCCAACTACCTACCAACACATTGCAAGAGTTATTAAAAAAAAATTATCACATCTTTTGACTCAAACCTCCACATTATTTGGAATATAGCCATGATTTAGAAGAGCCAGCCTCATGTAATGAAAATAATCCTTGTCCAGGAGTCAGAACAACCAGCTTCAAGGCCTGGCTTCATCATCTACTAGCTGTGTGACCTTGTGCAAGTCAACCAGCACCCTGGGGCTCTGTTTTCTGGACTCTAAAACAGGAATAACAAGATTTCAATTACCAATTTCATAGGGCTGTTGGGAGAAAAAACAAGACATCCTAGAGAAATGTGAGTATTGTTCACTCCTCCTAAGAATACTATCCAACTTGGGAGTGATGGTGTTTTAGAGGGCAGACATGTAGACTCACAAATGATGTGAGGAAAGCAGAAGCACAAGATTAACAGAAACATGAATTGCACCTATAAAACAGAACAACACAGGCACAAATTTGGGGGGAATGGGCAAAGACAATGAAAGTTGAAACATAAGGGAATAAATGATAGCTTACAGAAATCTGTGTTAGGAAGGTCTTTTAAAAAAAGTTAAATTAGTTGTATTTATTTAACTACTAAATTATAAATTTATATCAAATTTTTATTATTTTTAAAATTATGTATACATATAATATATAATATATAATTATAAAAGTTACCAAACCAAAGATCTATTTTCAACATGTTGCTACAGAAAGAATGAACAAAGACTCAAGAGTTAGGAGACCCAGGTTCAAAATTCTAGTTCTGGCAAGTTGCTGAACCTCTATAGCTTCAGTTTTCCTCATTTATAAAACAGGAATCAAAATATTTCCTTGCACTTGCCCAGTGTGGTTGTAAGGAAAATGTGAGATATTACTGGCACCATAGCAGTGGGAAGAAATGATATTAATGCTGGATCCTTACCATCGAGTTTGAGAGTTGAGACATCAGTGTAGGAGCCCCATTTGAGTCTGTTTTTGTACATATGCCAACGTTCTGTTAGACCGACGGATTCAGAGTCAGAGAGCTAGGTTTTAATCCCAGTTCTGCTACCTCCCCTGTGGGCCCTTAACTGCTCTGAGCCTGAAGCTCCTCATCTGTACAATTAAGGGACTGGATTAGATCAGTGGTGTCAAAATCAAATGGAAACAGGGCCACTTAGTGAGAACCATAGTTAGAAAACCACAAATTAGCATTATCTATGTTGTATCGCATTTTTATTTAATTTGTTTAATACTTTCCAATGTAATAAGCATTTGCATAATGCCTACCACATGCCAGGCACTGTGCTAAGTGCTTTATAAATATTATCTCATTTGATCCTCACAATAACCCTGAAAGGTAGGTGCTGTTAGCATCCTCATTTTACATTTGAGGAAACTAAGGCAATCATAGGGGAAACAACTTACTCAGGATCACACAACTATTATGTGTCTAAGGTCAAATTTAAACTCAGGTCTTCCTGACTTCAGGCCCAGCACTCTATGCATTGAGTCATACAGCTGATATCTAAGCTATCTATGCTATGATTCCAAGTAAACAAGTTTCACAGAATGATGTACTTAGGCAGACTTTACCCTTATATGTGTAATATACAAATCTTTACCTGTAGCTTTATATGTATATATGTGTAGTTTAAAAACAAGATAAGGAAGATACTTACCATGGCTATAAAAGGACCCAAAGAAAGGGCAGAAACAAAGCAAACAATGAAACCCAGGGCAATTAGTCGGAGAAAGCTGAAACTGCTCCATCTGACAGATCCACCTACAAAAAGAAACATTATCATTAACAAAGGGAAAGAGATGTCATATCACAGCATACACTAAAATGCTGCAACTTGTACTAAAATTATCTGTGTGCTCACCTTATCTCCCCTACTAGTCTAGAAGCTTCTTGCAGGTGACAGCCATGTCTTATTCATGTTTGTCATATCAGACACTTAATAAACATCTTCACAAAGCTTTTCATGATATCTCATTTGGGTAATGACGTTTCTCAGTCAGTTAATAAGTATTTAAGTACCTACTATGTGTCAGGTACTGTTCTAAGTGTGGAGAATACAAAGGAAGGCAAAAATAGTCCCTGCCCTCAAAAGTTGAAAGTTTAATGGGGGAGACAACATGCAAACAACTATTAACAAACAAATATATACAGGATAAACTGGAGATCATCAAGGCCAACCTGTGTGGGGCTTTAAATGCTAAATAGAGGATCTGACATATGAGCCTGGAGGCTTTAGGGAGCCACTGGCGTTTATTTAATAGAAGGGTGCAACGGTCAGACCTGAGCTTTTGGAAAATCAATTTGACAGCTGAAAGAAGGATAGACTGGAGTAGGGAGAGACTCGAGGCAAAACCAAAAGACCAGCCAAAGTTCACTGTGGTGATAGAGCTGTGAGGTGATGAAGGCCCACACCAGGGTGATTGGCAGCAGTAGAGGAGAGAAGAGGGCAGCTACACGAGATGTTCCAAAGGTGGAATTTACAGGGCTTGGCAACAGAACGGATAAGGGGGCGTAAGAGATAGTGAAGAGTCAAGGACGACAACTGAGTTTTGAGCTTGTGTGACTGGGAGGATGGTGGTGCCCTTAAGAGTAATGGGGAAGTTTGGAAGAGGGAAAGTTTGGGGGAAAGGTAAGGAGTTCTGTTTTGTACATTTTAAATTTAAGAAGCCCATGACATTCAGTTTGAAATGTCCAATAGTTGCTAGGAAAGATATAAGCCTAGAGGTGACTAGAGAGGTCAGGACTGAATAAGCAGTTTTGAAAATTACCAGCACAGAGATGGGAGCAAATGAGGTCACCAAATGAAAAAGAACAGAGTGAGAAGAGAAGAGGGTGAAGGACCTCCCATTGCAGAGCTATGTTCTACATAGAGTCTATATTTTTTAACACAATTACTACATGAATCATATAATTGAGAACTGGAAAAGACCTCTGAGGTAATCTAGTCTAAACTCTTCAGTTTACAGATGAGGAAACTGAGGCTTGGAGACATTAAGTGACTTGAGTAGGGTCATACAGGTTATAACCCACATAGATGGGATGATGATGGTGATATTTCTTTAGTATTTTAAGGCTGGCAAAGGTTTTTGCATGTATTATTGTATTTGATCCTCACAACAACTGTGTGAGGTAGGTACTATTATTATTCTCATTTTACAGATGGAGAAACTGAGACTGAGAGATGTTAAGTGGCTTGCTCAGAGCCATACATTTATGTAAATGACTGAGGCAGGATTTAAACTCAGGTTGTCTTAACTCCAAGTACAGTTTTGTATCCACTTGTCTATCTAGTTACTGGGATTTGTCCAAGGACCTCTGACAACAGATCTAGTACATAATTTTGTATAATTTTACTACCTATGTCTTATCCTCCTACTAGACAGTAAATTCCATGAATGTAAGCCTCAAATTTTATCTCAATTTCTATTAATATTATTATAATTAACTGGAAGTTATCTTTATTATTCAGCGATGCAAGGCTTACATAGCAGTTGCTTTTCCATTTCCTTTTATTTCTTAATTTATTTTTTGATTACATTTTAAGTTCTAAACTGTCTATCTCCTAATTCTTTCTCTGGAAGCATCTTCCTTCATAGATCCTTTGCAGTTGATTTGAGTATTTATAATATTCAGAATAACTTAGCTGTTCACAGTTATTCTCTGAACGATATTGTTGTTACTATAAACAATGTTCTCTTGGTTATGTACAAATAATACTTCATTCTTTCTTTCTTTCTTTTTTTTGGCAGGGCAATTGGGGTTGAGTGACTTGCCCAGGGTCACACAGCTAGTAAGTATCAAGTGTTTGAGGCCAGATTTGAACTCAGGTCCTCCTGACTCCAGGGCCAGTGCTCTATCCACTGCGCCATCTACCTGCCCCACTCTTTATTATTTCATGCAAGTCTTTCCATGTTTTTAAAAATCAACCTTGCTCATCATTTCTTATAGCACAGTAGTATTCCATTTACCTCAATTTTCTTCCTCCTCTAGGACAGTTTATAAGTAGATACCTGATGTTTACTGTTGTTGAAATGAAGCATGGCCTAATGGAAAGAATTAGAGGATTGTCAGGCCTGGGTCTGCTATTTAAAAACAGTAAAAATGATAATGATAGTAGCTCAATCACCACTTTTCTCAGTCAATCAACAAATTGGAAATTTATTAAGTGCTTACTACCTGCCAGTCCCTTACTACCTGTTCTAAGCACTGGGGATATGCAAGTACAGTACTGTTCTCTCCATTTTACAGATGAAGAAACTGAGACTCAGGGGTTTCATATGCCTATATATAGTAACAGTTCAAGCTCACAACTTAATGAATCCTACAGAACAATTACCATTCATGTGAACCTGGGCAAATCACTCTGAGGACCTTAGTTTCCTCTAGATCATCTCTAATATGCCACCTAGTTCCAAAATTCCATTTTTTCTCCCCTGTAACTATATTCCAGTTCCCATGATACAGAGGCGACAGAAGGAAGAAAGAGTGGATAAAAAGAGCAAAGAGTAGGTTGAGAGATTAAGTCCTGCCTGCAGGTAAAGTCTAATTCCTAGGCCAGAAGAAGTCAGTAAAAACCAAAAACCAACCCCCCCCCCAAAAACCCAATACTGATGGCTTGGAAACTTGCCTGGTTTATCTGCGGTGAAACAGTAAGATCTCAGCAAATAGATGCCATAAGCTGGGGCCACATAAAGGTAAATGTGCTTAAAATGCAGGAGAATGGCAAAGAGAAATGCTCCTTCCAAATGCCTTTTCTGGGAGATTTAAAAGAGAAAAGTCACCTGAATGTGTGCAGTAGTGGTTGGTGCAGTGTGATTTTAGTGGGTGCAGATTATGATTAATACCTTCTCAGTAGCGCAGAGAATCCAATCCCCCTCACTCCCTTTCCATGGCTGTAAAATGCCTAGAAGAGTTTACTCTGTACTGCTTATCACTGTGGTATCAAGTCTGGGGGACACGAGAGAAGGGAAACCATCCTGATGGCTGGGGGTATCCAAATGGCCTAACCCACAGAGGAGGCCTCCGCTGCAAGGAGAGTGGAAAGGCCCATGGTGAGGTCACACCTAACATGGTATTATTAAGGACCCATTACATTCTGTCTTTTCATCCTTCTTATTCTAGATACCGCCTGGCTGGGACCTGACACCAGTCACTAGCTCTGCCCCTCCATGCTGGTGCTTGCCAACCTTGCCCCCTGCTGTGAGTGCTCCAGAATGGATTTTCCATTCTCTTCCTCCTTCAGAAGTACCCCGTCCTCTACAGAGTCTTTTCAGATTTCCTCAGACAGAGATCACCTTGCCTCATTCCTCCCACAGCCCTCTGTAACCTGCTCATGCCCTTGCCAGGCTGTGTTTCTATTACAGCTGGGTAGGTGTCACATCTCCTTTCTGAGGATATAAATTCTTTCAGGGCAAAGATGACACTTGATCTTTGCCTAGCACACGGCACTGATTCAGAGGCAGAGAACATTACTAAACAATCTCCATAACCACCTGAAGCCCAAGGACTAGACTGGTACCTCGCTATGTTGGGAGTGAACTGAAGGTAATCTTTTTTTCCATTCTTTTTAACAAAGTTGATGGTTTCTAAAAGAGACATAAGTTAATATTCCTGAAACTCAACAGAGTTGTAACATGTGACAATGAGGCTTCTCATTTATTCTCACTCTCCTGTCAATCTGATCAAAATAATATGGAGAAGTACAATAGAGAAGAAACTGGCAAGCTTCCAATTCTCTCTTCACTAACTTTATGATTTAGACTCATAACCTAGTTTTACAGTCAAACCGTTATATTTATAAAAACAACTTTAAAAAAGATAGCTTTAACACTTTGTAGGGAATTTGGATAGGAAACCGCCAGGGTCTTGGTTTCTTCCAGTGTTCAACATCCCCTGAAGATGCTGAATGCGAAAGCAGCACAGGATCTTAAATCTGAATACTACACTATCAATGCTCAGGACCTGCCCTGGCATAAAAACCCTTTGTAGTTCAAATTCCTCTTCTCAAAAATGAGGAGTTGGTGCCAGTCTGAACATTGGGAAGGATAGCCATTAAGAGCTTTCCAAACTTTCTTGAATCCACTGACTAAATTTATTGAGCTTCCTCCTTACTGGAGCCTCTAAGAGTTAAAAAAAGACTTTTGTGTATTTAAAAAAGAAAAGAAAAATCCATTTCCATGTCCATTTTGTAGTTACCTGAAATAATCGGGCAATTGAAAGCAGCATTAATCCAAATAAAAAACCGTTGTACTGAAAGTGAATATCTGGATTTTGGGTTAAGGAAAAGTAGGAGAGATCCTGAATTCAAAACGAACTGTGCCATAATGCCCAAAATAATGGAGAGGAATATGAACAGAAATAACACAGGCTTTTAAAGATCATCTTAAACACAAAACTATTAGTAAGTATTGGACTTAAACCCAAGAAGACCTGACTTGGAGTCCTGGCTGACTAGTTTGTGTCTTATCACTGGGATGGCAGAAGAAAAAGTACTGGATTTGGACCTAAGTTCAAATCCTTACTCTGCTCTTTATAGACAGAAAACCCCCCAAAACAGTGTGACCTTGGGAAGGTCACTTAGCTTAGAGTAGATGGTGATTTCTAAGGTCCTCACATCTCTAATTCCTATGATCTCTCTGAACCCCACCTTCCATTTTTTTTTTCCAACATAATCTTTATCACAGGTCTGTAGTAAGGATGATGATGCTTTGTCAACTGTAAAAACTATATAAATGTGAGCTAAGATTAACTCTACTTTCTGAATTTCCTTGCAAAACATTTTGAATTCTGGCCAATTATCTGATAAACTCCTTAGATTTCAGTTCAGAGAAGAAAAAAACAAGGAGTCTCAATTCTGACTTTCTTAAATTCAGCATCAATAGATTTTGACTTGTCAAAGTCAAAAAGTATTTTCAGATTAATAATAAGCCTTTAATACACAAGTTGGCACAGTCTCATTTGACTCTTTATATATGGCCTCTTCAGATGCTTATTTAATAAATTTATATCATCATTTCTGCCTCCCATACTGTCCTCAAACTTACTGTTTCCTTCTAATTTCCATATTTTAACTGATTTGATTTGAAAGATCATTCCACTTGTCATTCAGTTTTGAGATTACAGGTTGGCCCACTGTCAAAACCTTACAGTGTAGTGGAAGAACTGGACTCAGGTGGGAAGATCTGAGTTTAAGATACCCTCTGCCCCAGGTAACACAGCTGGTAAATGGCAATTAACCTCTTCTTAGACTGATCACTCTCTACGGTAAATCACTTAGCTCTTCCCTTTCCTCTGGGCTGATCTAATAATGATAACAGCATGGGGACCAGGATGTCGAAGCAATTGCTCTCCTGGAAAATACACAGGAGTCAGGAGGGACACACTGAACAAAATTTCCCACTTTTTGCCAATGGTTTTAACAATTATGCCTCCATTAAGTCCTCCTCCAATGAATGATCATGGTGTGTAAGTTGCCCTGGAAGGCTAAGCCAAGTATAGCACAAGCTCTAGCAGGTCCTCCTCAGTGTGGAAAACCTTGAAAATGGAACCAGAAACAGAATGGCTTTCAACTGGTATCTGAGGAGTAACCTATGTAAACACAGATAAGCTCCTAACCAAAGAAGGGTTAGTCACAGCAATTTATGAAGACTCTGTTTTTCAGCAGTGTTTGACTCTTTGGGATCCCATTTGGGTTTTCTTGGCAAAGATACTGGAATGGTTTTCCCATTTCCTTCTCCAGCTCATTTTATAGATGAGGAAACTGAGGCAAATAGGGTTAAGTGACTTGCCCAGGGTCACACAGCTAGGTGTCTGAGGTCAGATTTCAACTTAGGAAGATGAGTCTTCCTGACTTCATGCCCAGCACTCTATACACTGTGCCACTTAGCCACCCACTGCTAAGGAGTGGAGAGAATGGCGAACTGCATTAATGGAAGGAAAGCCCAAAACTGATTAAATCAGGGAACCTTTAAGTATTAAACTGTGACATACGAGAAGCAAATAGACTGATTTTGCCAACACAAGCAAAATTCAGAGCAAAATGACTGCCTTCACAGGAAGGCTAAAATGCCACTCACACTAACAAACCCTATGGTGGTGTAGAAAGGGAGCTGAATGTAGAGACAGAAGAGACATGGTTTGAATCCTGCCTCTAACACTTAACAGATGTGTAACCGTGGGTAAATCACTTAATCCATCTGTGCCTCAATTTCCTCAGCTGCTGAACGAGACTAATAATACTTAAACTACCTATCTCACAGGGTTGTTGCCAACTTTAAAAGTGCTATAGAAGTGTTGTCTATTATTAACAGTATGGCACAGCAAAAAAACCCCAGGATTTGGAATCGGAAGACCTGCATTCTCTCTTGAGGCTGCTAGTCAAACCCTAGGCACACAACTGTATGGACTTCCCTACAATGAATGAATCTCTCTAAGCCTTAATTCCCTTTCTGGTATAATGAGGGCACTGGGTTCCATGATATCTAAGGTCCCTCCCAGCTCTAGATCCATAACTCTATGGATTCTATTTCAAAGGTTAGATAAAAGCTAACAACTGATACTAATAACCAACGTAGAAGAAAACACATTATTTTTAATCACAGTCAAATGCAGAAAAAGTAGCTCCATTCACTGTAAAATTTTGGTCCACACAGGAAATCATACAACTAGAGTTTTGCATTTAGATGCTGACATTTTACTTGCTATAGAATTAGACTCTAGCCTCACCACACATTCTTCAGCTCACATTTCTACTTCATTTTAAAGCTTACATTAAGAGCTTTCTTCATCATTTAGGTAGAGAGCTCAGATATTATCATCCACATTTCAAGCTGAGTTGCCAATGGCCAACTAGCCATTAAGTGTCACTGGTGGCCTTGGATCCCAGGTCTCCTTGCCTTAAGGCCTTAAACCTCATGTAAGGGGCCAGTGCAGCAGGGATACAATGCTCCTGACACTACCTCGTATTCCTCTCGTCGAAAGAACCAAAATATCTCTAGTGTACTCTTCCTCATAGTCCAACCACTCTTTGTCCTTAAAATTTAAAGACTAACTGAGAAGGGAAGTTTGTGTGTAGCTCTGCTCCAACAAGATAACATGGCATTACAACAGGATGACTCCCCTTCAACCCAGAAGGACAATGCAGGGGAACATCAGCAGGCCTCGGGACTGGAGAACAATATTAAGAGCTTATGTTGAGACAGCACTTCATAGTCACACTTTCCTCATGACAGCCCTGAGCGGCGAGGAGTACAAGTATTCATTATCTTTGTGCAGCGGACAAATCTAAGGCAATTTGCCCATGGTCACATAGCTACTAAGTGGGAGTTCAACTCAGACTGACTGAAATAAAATGCAGCGCTCTTCCTGCTGACAGCTAATCATAATAATAACAACTTATTAAGCTATATTTATATGCTACTTAGAGTTTGCAAAGCATTTTACATGCTATCTCATTTGATCTTCATGACAATCCTGGGAGGTAGGTGCTATTTATCTCCATTTTACAGATGAGAAAACTGAGGTTCAGAGTGGTTTTAAGTAGCTTGCCCAAAGTCACACCCCTCCAAGTCCAGCACTCTATTCACTATGCCCCACTAGATCAGAAGTTTTGACCTTGGACCTCTTCAGCCCACTTGACAGCAGGAGGAATACATACCCGCTCTACTTGCATTAGATTTCTTAATAAAATTTTAGACATAAACATAATGAATAATTACTATATTTTTTGGTGATGAGAGAAAACTGAAACTTACCCAACCCTACTAACCCTCAATAATCCAACAGAAAAAACTCAAATTTCACTATGATCATCAACAGAAAGTATTAATCTTATACCCAATGTGTGCATAAGATAAGTGAAGAAAACATATACAAAATTAAAAGGATATGGTCCACAATTAGCAATCCAAAATTCCATAGAAGTAAGACTGAAAGAATAAATGTTGGCTTCTCTGTAAGTTCTTTCCCAGCTTTTTTCCCCTCTATGCATTTGCAGCACCTACAGGAAAATATTCGGAAGGAACAAGGCAGAAATATCAATGACTTCATTATTATAAAGACAGGCTATTATTTTAGAATTTACAGGATGATAGGATTTTAGAATTAGAAGGAAAAACTTATGGCAACTCATATTTCTGAAAAGCTTTTGAGGTTTACTTCCTTTCAACAATCCTGTGTGGACAGTACAAATATTATTATTCCTATTTCGCAGATGAGGAAATTGAGTGATTTGCCCAAAGCAATAGAGTATGGAAATGTCCAAATTCAGAGGGGAACTCAGATATCCTGACTCTTAAGTCTACAACTGTTTCCATTATACCTCACTAAATCTCAGAGATTTTCCAGTCCAACTTCTACCCAAATCATAAATTCTGAACAAGGAGTCAACCAGCCTTTAATTAATTTACATTTAAATGCTTATATGGAAACATAAATGCTTAAGAGGTAGCCTGGCATAATGGAAAAGTCACTGGAATTGGAGTCAAATAATCAGAAAATTGAAGAGCAATAAGAGATTTTAGAGGTCACTTAATCCAACCTGTACGTGACCAATAAGAAAATATCCAGTCTTTGCTTGAAGACTTCCAATGAGGGGAAACTCACTGACTTCTGAGGTGGTCCATTTCAGTTTTGGATAGGTTAATTTTTAGAAAGTTTTTCCTTATATTAAACCCAAACTTTCCTCTTTGCAATTCCACCTATTACTCCTTTATAAACACCTAAGACAGCTATTATGATGTCCCCTCTGAGTCTTCAAGTTAAGTATCTCTAGTTCTTCCAGCCAATTCCAGGAACTGAAATCAGCTTATATGTTTAAAATTTATAGACTCAACTCTGTTCCCAGGACGTTTGTCCTTTTCAGTACCGTAGCACATCTCCTGTTCTCCATGATTTTTCAGCAATGAGCTACACCATGACCTTTGAAAGATCACTTGACAGAAGTTTAGTGATCACAACTATCAGTTTTTTCAGTACTCTGGGGTTCCGTTCATATTTACATAGAGAAAAGAGAAGCAAAATAAGACTTGAAGAGTTACTTCTTTTCTCCACCAACTGTTAAGGCCCACCCCTCTGAATAGGGTATTGTCAAATCTCTTCTTAGTTGAGTTTTCAAATCCCTTCTTTGACATCTTCCTTTGCCCAGTAGTTTAAAAAAAATGTGTTTTTCTATACTATATTCTACTCCATATATCTCCATTTAATCCACATGCATAAAAAGACTATATAAAATGTCTTGCTAAGATCTAAGCATTCTATTCTACATATGAGGTATTCTATTGACCTACCAGTTTGGTTACCTATCCCAAAAAGGAAATAAGATTAGTTTGGCTTGACTGGTTCTGGATAAAGCTATACTGACTTTTCATGACCATAGATTCCTCACTTTCTAAGTGCTTACAAATCATGGAAATACTATATTCTGGAATTCTACTAGGAAAAAGACAAGCTCCAACACCAAAGAAGAAAAAAGAAAAGGTGCCACCATCTCTTCTTTGCTCAATTCGTGGGGAATGTGAGTGTGAAACACTGAATGTACTATCAGATTGTCTCTTCCAGCTCTTCATCTAAGATATGATGCTCTAACGATACACTGGTTTGTTTTGTCAAACCGTCTTCTTTTTTATTCTTTGTTAAAGAGTATGGCTCTCTGGGGAGGGGAAAACATGAATGATAGATTTGGAAATGCAAATGATATCAATAAAAGTTTTTAAAAGTCAAACTCATAGGTCTATAATTTGTAGAGTTCACTTTGTATTCCTCTTTGGAGAAATGGGACATCTGCCCTTCTTAAGTCCTGTAGCATATGTGCCATTCTCAAAACCTTTCAGCAATTACCAACCAGCTCAGCAATCCCACGTAACTGTTTTTTCAGTACTCTAGCATGTAGTTTGTCTGGGCCAGTGCATAGATGGCAATATTCTTGTGGCTTTTCATTACTTGCTAACCATTTTTGTTCTGTTCTTTCTCAACTAAGGACCAATTTCCTTGCAAGAGAAACAGAAACAAAATAATAAGAGTTGAGTAGTTTCCTTTCTCACCATTTTCTATAATCTACTGTCCACCTAAAGCAACGATCCTGTCCTTTCTTTGATCTTTCTCTTACCTTTAATAAAAGTAAAACAAACAAACCAACCAGCCCTTACTGGTAGACTTCTTACCAGCTTCTGCTTTTTCTGTGGCTTAGCACTCATAACACAAGTTTCACAGGACTGTGTTACTACTTGTATTCACTCTTTGTTACTTCCCTTTACATCCATTTTCTCTACATATATTTTTAAAATCTCAGTTTGTTGATGGATCTCTTGTACATCCACACTGGTTTCTTTAGAGAGTTCATACTTTTCTCTCCTTAGTGGAATACTTTCTGCATGTGAATTCAGAATTCAATCTTGAGAGAACTTTTATTCGACCTGAATCAACTTCTTGTGTAAAATATTAGGCCAGAGGTACCAAAAAGTGGCCCCTAGGCTGCATATGATCCACTACACTGCCAAGTGTGACCCGTGCCAGATTAAAAGATAATGGGGGCAGGGAGAATAAATAAATAATACAAGAAAACACAAATAACATTAATATATGGTTTTCTAAGTTAAGAGGCAGCCCACAGAGATCCAAATGTATGGTTTAGTGGTCCCTGAATATATCTGGGTTTGACAGCATTGTATTAGGCATTAAGTCTTCCTTATCTTTATTTTGAACCCTTGGAAATCTGTTCTATCCAAATCTAGGATGCACATAAGACTATGCATAGCTTTTTACTCCTTCTCTATCATGAAATCTATGATACAGTGGTCACTTGCTTCCAAAATTCCTGTATTCAACAATTCTTCCTTAAACAACCAGTTTCTCCTCGTTAATGAAGAATAGGTCTTATTGATTCCTCTACCTCAAGGTAAGTCACAAATTTATGAACAGCTCCACTCTTTGGTGATAATTTGGGGAGATTTCAAGAAGATATAGGGATAGCTGAATCCTGGGACCTGGGTTCAAATATCAGGTCTGTTACTTTCTACTTGCATGATCTGTGGCAAATCATTCTTTTTATTAGGCTTCAATTTCCTGATTTGGAAAATGAACTACATGATTTCTAAGGTCTCTCACAGCACTCCTTTCCTTTTTTCTATTGATTGGACACATGGAGGCTCAAGGGTGATTTGAAAAAATGACTTAACACGTCCAATTAGTCAGTAATAGAGCCCAAGAAAGACCTCAGAAACAATTCTACTCTACCTTTTCTAAGCCATGTTGCCTCTAATGAATATTTTCAACATAGACCTCTTTTATTTTTAAACTAACCATAAAATTCTAAGAATTTGGAGGGCACAGTATGTTTCGTATCTTCTTAAAAGTGAAAATGTGGAAAAACAGGCTATCATGGGCTACTTTACAGTTATACTGACAAAATTAAGAACAGGACATACTGTCAACTCTTGATTATCTGAATAATATCCAAGTCGCTTATCCTTGAATGTAGAATGGATTTTTGTGGTTGTATATTCTAGAAACTTATATGTTTCAAACAAAATAATATTAAATTTTGGAGGCACTATACATTAACTTAATTATTTCCATTTTCTCCTTTGCTCAATTTATCCTAACTGTTGCGTAGAATAACATTTAAAGTTATTCAAGGTACAAAGGTCAGTACAACTACTACCTTCTCCATGAAAGCATTCCCTAGATCCCTCTAGCTAGTAGTAGTATATGACTTTTGATTTCCCCTTTTCATTATTCACTCATATTCTATTTTGCATTATAGCTAGCTGTGTATCTGTCTTAGCTTTCTTCTAGACTGTAAGCTCCTTGAGGGCACAGACCATATTTTATTTATCTTGTTTTCTTCCCCAGTGTCTAGTATAGGACTTTACACATAGTAGGTCTTTAAAATATCTGTTGAATAAAAATGAATGAGTATTTGCTGTCTGACGTACAATTTCCCAAGGAGGTAATCAAGATCTTTGGTTTAAATGAAATAATAGCTTGTATTTACATAGCGTTTTAAAGGTTTGTAAAGTATCATACATACTTTGTAATAACAATAATGATGATGATGATGATGATAATGATAGCTAACAATTATATAGCATCTACTATATGCTAGGCACTGTGCTAAGCTCTTTTTATAAATCTCATTTGATCCCCAAAATAACCCTGGGTGGTAGAAGTTATTATTATCATCCCCATTTTACAGATGAAGAAAAGAGGCAATGGGAGATTAAGTGGCTTGCCCAGGGTCACATAGCTAGTAAGTGTCTGAGGCTGGATTTGAACTCAATTTTTCCTTGGCTTCAGGCCTATGGCTGTAACCACTGTATCACCTACCTGCCTCAATCTCACTTGACTGAAGAAGGTTCAGACCCCACTCTCTTCCAGCTACTGAGAGACTGTATATTGTGCGGTAATTTCATAAGTTGAAAGGAAGATATCCCTCTAAAAAGCAGATGATGTCATTAGCCAAAGTAGACTGTACTTCACTTGTTCTTTTCCTTTGTCGTTTTCACTATAGTCCTCCATTAAAAAAAAATTCTTTTCCAGGAAGAGGCTGTATGGCATACTTGGAAAGGGTAATAGGTTTATAATTCTAACCTAGGCTCAAATTCTATCTCTGTTACTTACTATGTGTCCTTGGGCTGGATCATGGGTAATTTCCCTTTTCTGGGCCTCTGTTTTCTTCTCTGCAAAATGGGGGTGGTGGGAGTGTACTAGATGTTTTCTAAGGTCTCTTCCAGCTCTGACATTTTACACTTGAAGCTGAGATCAAACACTAATAATTTTCTTTTCTTAGACTTTACACAGCACTTCTTCCTCTACTTCTTTTAAGTCCTTGTGATTTTCTATTTTGAATATCATTACCTGAGTTTGTGTCACATCCTTCAACAGCTTGTTATTTTCACTTACATCTGATTTATTCAGGCAAATGCCTAGAGCAGGGCCCTACACCAAATACAAATTTGAGTCTTCACAAATTTTTTTTTCACTTCAACTACAAGCTCTGCATAATATACCACATAGTTTAGAATTTCTGGAGCTCTTGCTGCCACAGGAACTTTGTCATTAAAACATAAGACATTAGAACAAATTAAACCGTGAAACACTATTTTTCCCTCCACCACACAAGAATACAATCCTTAGACTTACTCATAGACTGCATATATAAAGAGGACATCTGTAAAGATGACAGAAAATCTCTGGAAAAGGACGGTTCTAGGACTGGCATAATTCAAGTTCTGTATATTCAGCATCTCCGGGTCAAAAACTTTGGCAATATGTGACAAAGCATATTCAAACCATGCAAAAAATGGAGGGTAATCCAAAGTCCACTCTGAAGTTGCCTACGGTCAAAGGGAGAGAGAACACACACACAAACGCACACTCAAAGTCAGAGATGAAAGAAATAAAAACGAAGTGGAAATCTTTTAAAAATACATCACTTTAAATCAAACTACCTTCAAATAGGATATAAACCAATACAATGCAAGCCCCTCATAGAGCCAAATGCAAACGCCATTTCCTCCAGGAAGCCTTCCCTGATCTCATTTAGTGACACTTTCCCTTTCAGACATCCGAGTACTTGTTTAGTACCCATGCACATCTCAAGCAAAACTGTGCTGTTGTAACAATAATCTTACATCCACAATATAGGGCATTTGTAAGATTTGTCAAGAGCATTCTCCTTCTAACTCTGTGAGGTAAGTAGTATAAACATTATTTTCCTCCTTTTATAGGTGAAAGAACTTTGTGGCCACTGTGACCTGACCACTGTCACAGAGCTGGTAAGTATCTGAAGCAGGGTTTGAACTTACTTCTGCTGACTCTAAGTCCAGTACTTTCCACTCTACTACACTTTCTTACACGACTTATGTTGACCTGTGCCTTACCCCACAACTAGACTTTAAATGCTGTGAAGGCAGAAACTATATCTTATCCAAACTCTGTATGGCTCCCAGTAACATCTTTAACATTCTAGGACCCTATGACATTTTTAAAAATTGAATTTTTTAAAAACTGATTTTTAGTTTTCAACATTCACCTCTGTAAGATTTTGAGTTCTCAACTTTCTCCCTCTTCTTCTCCCCCTTCCCTAAGACAGCATGCAATCTGACACAGGCTATAAATGTACACTCATATTAAACATATTTCCACATTAGTCATGCTGGTTAAAGAAGAATTAGAACCAAAGTGAAAAACTACGAGAAAGAAGAACATCCCCCTCCCCCAAAAAAAGAGAAAACAGTATGCTTCTATCTGCATTCAGACTCCATAGTTCTTTCTCTGGATGTGGATAGCATTTTCCATCATGAAGATCCTTGTCTATCAAAGTTGGTCATCATACAATGTTACTGTTATTGTGTATAATATTCTGGTTGTGCTCACTTCACTCAGCATCAGTTCATGTAAGTCTTTCCAGGTTTTTCTGAAGTCCCCTGCTCATCGTTTCTTATGGAACAATGGTATTCCATTACATTCATATGCTATAATTTATTCAGCCATACCCCAACTGATGGGCATCCCCTCAATTTCCAATTCTTGGCTACCACAAAAAGAGCTGCTATAAATATTTTTGTATATGTGGCTTCTTTTCCCATTTTTTTGTAAAATAGAATTTTAAAAAATTATCAAGAATTTTTCTGCCACCCACTTTCCCTCTCTTTGAAAAATTAAACAAACAAACCACCTTTTAACAAATATGAATAGTCAAGCAAAACAAATTTCCACACTGTCCATATCCAAAAATGTATGTCACTTATGCACTGTTGGTGGAGTTGTGAACTGGTCCAATCATTCCAAAGAACAATTTGGAGCTACGCTGACAAAACTACTAAATTGTGCATACCCTTAAATCCCATGACAATGCTACTAAGTCTATGCCCCAAAGAGATCAGAGAAAGACCCATATGTATAAAAATATTTATTACAGCTCTTTTTGTGGTACAAAAGAATTGGAAACTGAGGAGATGTCCATCAATTGGGGAATAGCTAAATAGGTTATGGCATAGGAATGTGACAGAATTCTATGGTGCTGTAAGAAATGACGAAAGGATAGTTTCTGAGAAACCTAGGACAACTTGTGTGAACTTATGCAAATAGATAATCAATTTTGAAAGACTTGGGATCTTTGATCAACACAATGGCCAACAACAATTTCAAAGGACTCCTAATGAAACATGCCATCTATCTCCAGACAGTTAATGGACTCAGTAAAAACTGAAATGTATTTTCTGTTCTTTCTTTCTCTCTTTTTTTGGACGTAGCTAATACAGGAATTTGTTCTGTATTACTACACATACTGTAACAAATTTTGTTTTTCTTGCCTTCTCAATGGGTTAGGAAAGGGATAAGGGAAGGGAAAGAATTCAGAACTGAAGGTAAAATAAAACTGAATTTTTAAAAAAGACAGTGTAAGTTTCAGAGTCGTGTTGAACTATATTGATATCAACAAATTGCTTGTTTTATGTTTATTAATTTAATTCTATCTTGTTAAAATGCTGAGGGTTTTATAGAAGATATTTTGTATGTTTCTTTTTGTTGACAAACTTAATTTGTTTAAATTTACAGTAAAAAAAAAGGTGTATATACTTCCAAACTGTGAAGAATGGTCATAGAACCACAGGTACAGGATGTCATAGGTTTAAGATCTATATGAATACAACCACAAAATACTGTTTACAGAATTAAAGACAGACCTAAATAACTACAGAAATGCTAATTGCTCATGGAGAAGCAAAGGCAACATATTAAAAAAGACAATGGTATCTAACTGATTATCTCTTTTAGGGAACAAAGTGGTATATTAGTACCTTAAAAAGTTTAATGCATGTAAAGCAAAATAAGTAGAACCTGAATTATATACACGTTACTTACAGATATATAGTTTATGTTAACTCTAGCTCTCTGTGTATGTGTGTGTGTGTGACAGAGAGAGAGAGTGAAAGAGAGAGTATATGAGAGAGAGAGGAAGAGAAAGAGAAATAAGAGATTTTGGACATTCTTACTATGGTTTATACTGTGCTCAGTTAATGGTTCTGATCTCACTTTGTAATCAGGGCTATTCCAGGTAGTACCCATGGTAATGTTTTACCAAGTGCTCTCTTGATGGTCATTGGTGTACTCAGGGGTCACCTTTGACCAACAGGTGGGAATGTTAATGAATATTCAGGGGTCCCCTGAACTTGTCCTTCTGAGTTGCCATATTTTCCAGAAACAGAAGACACAGAGTACGCAAGAGGCTCTGAATGTGTCAAGGATGAAGGCCCTCTCTCCCCCTAAGCTGCCATAATTTGATGTTTGTACCCCAAGCTGGACTCCCTGTATGTCCTTGAAAAAGAGAAAAATGACAAAAGTTGTAGGAGCTGCAAGAAAACAGGCATATGAAGGCACCGTTGGAGCTATGATGGCTCCAGTAGTTGTGTAGGAATTTGGAACTATGCTCCAAAAGTTACCACCAAATGTATGTGCCCTTTGACCCACCTATACTTCAACTTGGTTTATACCCCAAAGAAATCAAAGAAAGAGGAAAAGGACCTATATGTACAAAAATGTTTAAAGCAGCTCTTTCTCAAAGTAATCAAAAACTGGAAACTAAGGAGGTGTCCATCAATTGGGAAATGGCTGAAGAAACTGGTCACTTAATCTCTCAGTCTCAGTTTCCTCATCTGCAAAATGAAGATAATAACAGCACCTACTTCCCAGGGTTTTTGTGAGGATAAAATGAGATAATCTTTGTAAAGCACTTTGAAACCTATATAAATGCTAGCTATGATGATGCTGATGATAAAGGAATGCAATGGAATAATTGTGCTATAAGAAAGGAAGGTAATAGTTTCAGAGAAATTTTGGAATAACTGTGAAGTGATAGGAACTGATGCAGATTGAAGTGAGCAGAATTAGGAGAACAATTTATATAATAACAACATTTTCAAGGCAAACAACTTCAAAAGACTTAAAAAATCAGGTAAGTGTAATGAACAATCATAATTTCAAAGGATCTATGACAAAACACAGTACCTACCTCCTGAAAGATAGGTAATGGACTTAGGGTACAGACTGAGACATATAGTTTTTGGACAAGGCCAATAAAAGAATCTGGTTTACTTGATTCTGCATATTTGTTAAAGGGGTTTGGTTTCGCTCCTTTTCAATGCGGGAAGGGGGGTACAAAAGAGAGAAAATACATATTTGTTAATCAAAAATTTTCTTAAATTTTAAAATATACTACAAATGACCACACAGCTGCCTTAGGGGATATCTAATCCAACTGCCTGATTTTATAGGGTGAAAAGAGCCCTACAGTCGGAAGTGAAGTCCCCTGGGCCACCTCTGAGAAGAGAAGGTGGTTTCTTGGGACAGCCTTAGGCTTCTTTAAAATAAAGATGCCAAACACAGGAATACATAGAAGGGCAGTGAGGAAGAAGTGTTCTTCATGAAGGCTAGAGAGAGAAGGCAAACTGAAGCCCAGAAGAGTAAAGTAGCTTACTCAGTCATGCAGTTAGTTATTAGCAGCATCTGGACTAAAACCCAGGCCTCCTCATGTGTATAACATTGCTTTTTCCACTACAAGCTATCATACTTCAACCATAAAGTTCAAGGACAGTCCCCCTTATCCAAGAATGAAGACAGAATGCAAAATGTTACTACTCTTCCATTTTTTTTTTTTGGTGAGAAAACTGGGGTTAAGTGACCTGCCCAGAGTCACACAGCTATTGAGTGTTACATGTCTGAGGCAGGATTTGACTCTAACCACTCCACCACCTAGCTGCCCCTAATCTTTCAATTTTATGAATTAAGAAATTTTGAAATGATTTATTCAGTGATTTACTCAGAAGCAGAATCCTGAAAAGAACCAAATTAAACTTTTATTTTGTTATTTAATGGAAGAGAGACTGGATAACTAGAATAATGAAGGAAGTTGAATCCATGTCAAAAAAGAATTAGTTTAAGGCACGGGAGTCTGCCTGGCCTGGAGAAGAAAAGACTTGAGAGGATATAAAAGCATGCTAAACAGCAGCACATAAAGGGAAAGCCTACTGACTCCAAAGTCAGAAGACCTATTTCAAATTCTGCCTCTGGGGCTTAACTTGTGTGACCTTGGGCAAGTCATATAACGTCTTTGGGTCTCATTTGCCTCATCTGTAAAATGAACCAACTGGACTAGATTCAGGTCTCTTCCACTTCTAAAATTTATGATCTTACACAGATATTTGAAGGGCTGGCATGAAGGAATTAGAGTTGCTCTGTTTGGCCCCAAAGTGCAGAAGCAGGAACTAAACTTAAAAGTTGCATGGAGGCAAATTTAGGCTTGATGTTACGAAGAAATTTCTAAAAATCTGTCAAAAGTGGAATTGGCTGTCTTTGGAGTAAAGAGGTTTCCTCTCACTGGAAGTTTTCACATAGAGGCTCGGTGGCCATTTGTGGGTATTCTTGTTCAGGTATGAACTAGAGATCCCTTCCAACTCAGAAATTGTGAGGTTCTGTAATTGAATTAGGTATTCCTGGAAACTATTTTCTCCTTATTGATGCATATTTAGGTTGTATCAAATCCCCCTCTGGAAGAAAGATAACATATGCTTAACATTAAAAAACAAAACAAATTTTACCTCATAGTACCATTGCGATACTGGTAAGCTGTGAGTGATGGCAAGCCAGTTCCTGTGTACTTCAAAATCTGTAGAATAACTACAAAGCAGACAAATAAAAAAACCAACAACAAAACAAAACCATTTCATTAAGAAATTAGATCTATGATAAAGGATCTTGTATTGTACTTTGGTTTCATATTCCCATTATTAAGGGGCTATGATATTTCCTAATATAAAATTTATTCTCCTATAAAAAAGAAATTAATTATATCTATATCTATATATCTAGTTTTACAACTAGTTTTGCAATATAACACTATAACAATTCACTTATCTAAAGGTCACACTTGGGGCAAACTCAACATCCTAAAACCTAATCATAAACCCATGAGTAAGGGGTTTTTGCCTCTAATCAGGCAAAACAACAATCATAAATCCCAGGCATTTATTCCATTCCAAGTGAAGGGCTTTTACTCAAAGGCTAGTCACACTATTTTACACACAATTCTTACAAGCTTAGTTATTAGTTTTTTAGTATACAGTAAGCTAGGAATAAAAAAATCTTGTCGCACAGAGGAGTGTCAGGTGACAGTAAAAGGACAGCGAAAAGGACTACAAAATTAGATATAAGGACTAAAAGCATAGTGGTCTGGGGTTATCTTCATGTTGGAGCAAGCAGGCCTACATACTTCAAAAACCTCTAAAGACATAAGTTAAAAAAAGTTGTATAAGGCTTCAAGTAGGAAGCAGGCCCTTTTGAGGAAGTTAGGGATTCTAAGAGGAAGATGTTAGAAAGGAATTCATTCTACATATGGAGAACTGTTTGTTCAGAGGTATGAAGGCACAGGACAGAGTGTGGTACAGGGACATTAGCTAGCAGGCCAGTTTGACTGAAACAGATGCATGAGGAGTAATATGAAATAAGATTATAAATTCAGGGGGAGATGGACTGTGGAAGGCTTAAAATATGCCAACAATGAGACAGTTGTAATTTACCCTGGAGGGCAACAGAAGTGTGACATGGTCAGATACAGTTTTAGGAATGTCAGTATGACAGATAGCATGGAATCCAATTAGGATGCTACTGCAGTAGTACAGGCTGGAGGTGATGACGGGATGAGCTAGGGTGGTGGTGGCTGTCTAAATGAGGTAGACGGATTTAAGAGATAGATATGTAGGTTGAAAAGATTTGACAGCTCATTAGACGTAGGGGCTGTTGGAAAGAGAGAAAAGTCATGGATGATGCTAAGGCTGCAAAAGACCATCCGAGTCAACACAGTCACATTACAGAAGAAACTGTGGCCTAATGAGGTTAACTATATATACTCGGATCGACTCCAGGGTCAAATATGAACTCTTCTAGTTGGCATTTAAAGCCCTTGATGGTCTGGCTCTAACCCATCTCTTCTGGCTAATTAAAAATGCATTGCGGGCAGTTAGGTGGAGCAGTGGATAGAGCACCGGCCCTGAAGTCAGAAAGACCTGAGTTCAAATGCGGCCTCAGACCGAGTACTTGACACTTACTAGCTGTGTGACCCTGGGCAAGTCACTTAACCCCAACTGCCTAAAAAAAGAATTAAAAAATTAAAAAAGAATGTATTACTCCCCTTCAAGCATCCTACAATCCTATTAAACAAAGATGTTTAATAGACGCTTACTGACTGACTGGATAGTGCTGGAAGTACAGTGCTCTGAATACAGTGTCAGAGCCGGGAGGGACCTTAGAATGAGGAAGGTCAGAGTTGGTTTCGTCTGTAGCCGGGGCTTATCGCTGGCATACAGTAGGAGCTTAATAAAATGCTTGCAGGATTGCACAGAATTGAGGCAATTTGGTGTGGCCGCACTTGGAGTCAAGAAGACCCGGATTCAAACGCGGCCTCAGGCACTTAATAGCTGTGTGACCCTGGGCTTCATGGGTTACTTCACGAACTTCCTGCCTCAGTTTAAACCAAAGACTCGGGACTCGACAGCCTTTCGATCTGAACCCAAGACCTCCTCGGCAAGCGGCACGTGAGGCCAGGGAACACCGGGGGCAGACACTGGCCCCCCCCCCCCCCCCGAGCATGGAGGCTCTCCAGCCCCTCATCCGGATGTCCCTCCCCCTCCCTCCCCTGCCCAGGAGCCAGAGGTGAGGGTGGGGCAGGGCCGCCCCTCAGCCTCCAGCCTTCCCGCCCTCAGGACCCGGCCCGCTCTCCCTCCGAGCCCCTTACTAGGCGGGTATGAGGAGGCATTTGAGCAGAGACACCCCGAGCGCCAGCGACAAGAAAGCCCGGCCGCCGCCTCCGACAGCAGCCCCGGACACCGTCATCGTGGCCCGCTCCCGCTCTTTCAATCAACTTTATCAGCAGCTCCTAAGAACACAAACAGGCGCCCGGGAGCCAGCATGGACGCATGCGCAGAAACGTTCTTCGCGGACTTAGGGAGGAGGGGGGGATGGGCTGCTTTGAATTTCCTGCATTGACCAGCCCCCTCCCTTCTTTTCCTTCTTACCCCCATCCCCCACCTCCTTTCAGCTCCGTCAGAGAAGGGCTCCACTGCGCCTGCGCCTGGGTCTCCTCAGACTCTTGCGCAGTCCCTGGGCAGCAGCTGCATAAGCAAGGCGTCTCATTCTTCTCTGACGATGATTCCCATCCCCTTCTCTACTAACACAACCCCCGCCTTTACGGGGAGATCATAGATTTATTTCTGCAAGGGTCTTTAGAGGCCGTATGGTCCAACCACCTCATTTTACAAATGAGGAAACTGAGGCAAACAAAGTTAAGTGACTTGCCCAGGGTCACACAGCTAGGAAAGTGTCTGAGGCCAGATTTGAACTCAGGAAGATGAGTCTTCCTGATTCTAAGCCCAGTGTTCTATCCTCTGAGTCATCTAGCCCTTCCCAAAGCACTATATTAAATGGAACGTCTAATCACTTTCTTGAAGCTGCCATTATGTCATGGATTGCTACCAGGCATTATTTTAGAAAGCTTAGATCAACTAGCAATGGGGCAGACAGTGCTAGGCATTGTGCTAAGTGCTAAGGATACATATAACAAGCAAGAAGAAAGATAGCCCCTGCCCTCAAAGGAGCTTACATTCTAAAGTGGAAGACAACACCTAAAAGAGAGCTGAAAATCTGGGAGGTGGGTGAAGATACCCACATGGACGCAGAGAGGTCAAGTCAATGGAGTCAGAAGTACAGTAGGAAAAGGAATGAAGCATGACTAGCCTGGATCTATCCCTGAAATGGACTCTCCTCCTGCCCCAAGGAGCTCACCAATGGGAGAAGGCCTTGTCATGGTGGAGGAATGTTCCAAGAGAAGTCTGTAGAGTTAGAGGCACAACCTGTAGGAGAATAAAGAATTATAATCAAAGCTGAATGTAAGTAATTATGTAATTAAATTCATGCAGTCCAAATATATTTTTTTCTCTGATCATATGTGGCCCTGATGACCTTTCTCCCTTGTACTTCTCAGACATTTTATTTTTTTGTACCTCTTTAATGCATTGGCATTATAATATTGTACATTCTTCCCTGCAGTGGCCCTTCTTACTATGTAATTTTCCACTGGCTTCCTGGTGTAATTTTGTAGATGTCAGTACCCTGCAATAAAGCCCCAGTCACCTTATCTTAGTTATAGCTTTACTAGGCTATGAACTCTACAAGATAGGGACCATGTCTTAATTAAAATTTTGTTTTTCCTTCAGCTTAGCATAGAGCTTTGTACAGAACAATAATTTAATAATTTTTTAAAACATTGAAGGAATTTCTGATCACACAATCTAAAATTTAAAAACTTAGATGTCCTTGATATATAGCATTTCCATTTTTTCAACTCCATAAATGTTTATTGAATATCAATTATGTATACAGCGCTGTACTGTAGGGATCAGAAAAATGAGCTCCCTGATTTCAAGAAACTTGCTGTTAGAAAAGCCAGAGGGGAAAAAATAATGTTTTGTGCAAAATACGTATCTTAGACAATAGTCTTTGGGAAGGGATAGTCCTTCTTAGTGGTATTTGTAAAGAAGGTCAATATGGGCCATGCTTTCAGTGTGATGGATTGCTCTCAAAGGAACACTGCAAATGGAAAATTCAAATTCTAGCTTCCTCTAAATCCCTTTGGATAACGTACTCTAGAATATGACACCATTTTAAGGAGGTGGGCTGGCATTTCTATTGAAGCTGAAGACTGCTAAAAACCTTCATAAATAGTTCCCGTTTTCCAGTGCTTAAAGGTTTTTGAAAATCTTTTCTCAAAATGACCCAAGGAGGTAGGTCATGCAAACCTTATTATCTTCCTTTTATACATGAGGAATCTGAGGTTTGTAGCAGGAAAGAGTCTTGCTAGTAAATGACTGAGTCAGTATTCAAGCCCAGATCTCCTGACTTCAAATACAAGAATCTTTCCATTATAGCATGTTGCCCTCCTTATGTTCCTATTGCTTTATTGTGTACCGGAAATGATGCAAGACTTAGGGTTAAGGAAACCTGTGTTTGATTTCTGCTTCTGTTGTTTGCTAGCTGTGTAATCATGGGCAAACCACTTTATCTCTCAGAGCCTCAGTTTCTTCATCTGTAAAATGGTGATAATTGTGCTTGTACTAATATGCCGTACTGGGTTATTGTGAGTAAAACATCTTCGTAAACCTTAAAGCCCTAAGAAAATGGGAGTAATTAACATAAGTTTGAGGGTTTTGACGAAGTACCATGCATGATTCCATTTGAGGTGGCTGCTTAGTGGGAGACTGGCTTCTACACTGAGGAATCTCTCCTTTTGTCTTCTTCCCTCCTCGGCTGGGGCTGCCCAGAACTCAACCACACTGCTTAAACGTGGCAGTTCTGTTCCTTCCAGTGAGATGGTAGACCACCAGATCTGAGCATCTGCCCTGAGGTCCTCCAGGCCTTACCTACCATCTGCCCTGTGCTTGTGCCCTTTGGTCCTTGTGTTGCGGGCTGAGAGGTTGAGAGGTTGAGAGGTTGTGACCCCTCAAAGACCAGAATACGGGTTGGGTCCTCTGGAATGAATTCACAGACTCAAGCATTCTTTAAGTCAAGGTGGCAAAGATTTATTGTTATGCTTTTCAGTGGGCAAGGATTCTTAAAGGATCCTGCCACCTTAGAGAGGTACAGGTAAAGTTTATATGGGATAAAATGCAATAAAACATATTCAAATATGCTAACTAGGGGATTCAGGGTGGGATTAGGGAGTGGTTAAGGAGTGGTCAGTTCTCAATTGAAACTCAAGATAAGAAAAGTCCCAGTATTCAAGAGAGTATCTGGTCCCAGACATCCTGGGCCCAGTGGTAACAAACAGGAAGAATACTGATCAGCTCTATCTGGTCCTGGAATTTGCTGATACAGGAAGGGGTGTTTTTAGTTCACTCAGAGAGAAAAGGATTAATTTAGGATTTTGGCCCTTATTGGGGCTCAATTGATCTTAAATGATTATCAAGGGACAGTGTTTCTGAGGCTAGGGAGAAATTGGGGCCCGAGTACAAGCACCCAAACATAAGCGCCCAAGCATAAGCACTGAAGCACCCCAACACTTGGACCAAAGTCCATCTGACCCATAGAGGTAACTGAAGGGCTTGTCATTTGCCTCAGTGCTGAACCCTTAGCACGGCTGGGATCTTCCATCCATTATGTGTTGTCTCCCTCAGTTCAAGTGTGAGCTCCGTGAAAGCAGACACTGGTTTATTCTTCTCTAGTGTATCCCCAGCATTTAGTGTGGTGCTTGGTATATAGTAAGCACTTAATAAATACTCATTCATTCATTCCATGTGATGAGTTCAGGGTTCCATTGTGAAGTACCAAGTAGTCCAGTAATAGTTTTCTGCCAGCATTCTTCATGGTTAACAGGAGCCTGGAAGAGGGTGCTAGAAATCACAGAAACATAGACATGGAGGGTAGAAGGGACTTCAGAGGTCCAACCCTTTTGTTTTACAGAGAACTGCAAGGCCCAAAGAAGAAATGGACATATTTTATTGATTATTAATTAATTATTGATTTATAGATAAAAAAAAGGTTCTGCTTTCACCTATAGATCATCTATTACCAGAGCCAGGCCTACTACTCAGAAAATAGGGATCTGACGCAGGGAGTTAACATCTTTGTGGTCTGTGTATATTCCTGGGGACAGAGGCAGGGGAATCAGGGAATAAATATTTCTATTTCCCCTACTCTGTGCCAGGCACTGTGCTATGTGCTTTTATAAATACTACATCATTTGATCCTCACAATAACCCTGAAAGAGAGCTTCGATTATTATCTACATTTTATGGTTGAGGAAACTGAGGCAAATGGAGGTTAAAGGTCTGAGTGTATGAGGCCAGATTCAAACTTGGTTCCAGTGCTCTCTCTAAAGCAATTGACATCTCCCCATCAAGGAATCAGACCCTAGTCTCCCCTGTGACAGGCTGGGTTACTCACCACTGTAGTAATGAGAAGTCTGGACAACATACTTCCTAAGTGCAGTAACCACCATCCTTGCATTTTATCACCTTTCATTTAGAAGTGTAAAGTCATCAATCATTAGTGTCCTTCTCCCAGGCCTGTCTTCCTCCATAATTCCTTTGGGGTTGAAGGCAGTAATTTTCCAGCATGATTGCAACTGCAATGCGCCTGTCCTGGGTGCCTCCATCCTTGACTTTGGTGAGGTTGTGGCTGATTATGGCTGTATTACAGAAATACGGAATCATTTTTATATTCAGTGCAGGGCATTGGCTAATGAGAGTCTCATTCTTATATGTGTGATATGCTGCCTAATGTGAATCTATGTGAAAGGTTGGTGAATCTGCTTCTGGAAATGGGTGATGGAAGGGCCCTTTCTCCCCTGCTCAGAGCATGTGCAGATCTCCTCTGACATCATGTACTAACTACCTGGAAGAAAAGCCTTCTAACTGGCTGCCGATCTAGAATTGAGTGGGCATATTAAAGGCTTGAACACTCCTCCCTCTCTGCTCAGACAGCATTCAGTGAACCAGCAAGAAAGAGAGTACTTGTGCAGTGTCTGAAGGGGGGAGGGAGAGGGCCCCAGCATCACCTCTTTCTGAAAGCAGGCTTGCCAAGCCACCCTGTGGGTTGGTACCAGGCAGAGCCTAGTGAACATGCTTTAAAGCCCTCACTGCCCAATGTCCTCCATTGCATAGAGATTTTTGTTGTTGTTGTTTTTTAGGATTGGATCTAGCCTGTTTAGCCTGTGTAATAATTTTCCATGCCTCCTGCAGCATTCATTAAAAATGAGAGATGAGACTGCTTGAAAGTTATAGTCGACATATTTCCACTGCATCTAATTAATGCTGGCTGGCTTTCCTTCATTCACCTATCCTTTATTGAGCACCTACCATGTGCAAGGCAGTGCAGGAAGCGCTGCGGGGGATACAAAGAAGATGCCGTTGGCCCTACCCTCAGAGAGTTTAGGGTAATAGTTTTTATGATAAGCATTCTCATTTCTAAAATGCTCTAAAGACTGTCTTAAACAAATGCCTTAAAGTATAAAATAATATCCACAAAGGAAAGAGGAAAAAGGAAA